GTGTGTGTGTGTGTGTGTGTGTGTGTGTGTGTGTGTGTGTGTGTGTGAGAGAGAGAAAGGGAAAGACTGCAAGCACATCATCTTTTACCGCTCCTATGTTTGTATGTGGAAGTAGCTGTTTTGTGTGTGTTGGTTAATATTTAGAGTTTGAGTTGCTGTTGAAGGCAAAAGTGGGCTTGTAGTCCAGAGAAATGAGTGCACAGTTTGTGAGCAGTTTCTGGCTGATATATCCTCAACTCCCACACACACACACACACACACACACACACACACACACACACACATTTATCTGACCTCAGCCCAACACCTTTTATGAGTTTTACCATAAATGGACATGGACTTAAAGCCCAAACACAGTTATGTTCCACCTCCAAGTCTTCCATTTAAAACCGTGTAACTTTGTTGGTGTAAATATGTTGAATACACCACACGCACACACAGTATGACATTACCTTGATTTGAACAAAGAGTACAGATGTTAGATCATTTAGATGTAAAGAATAGAAAACAACATCAATAAAACTAGATGTAGTGATGGCGGTTGATACATCAGGAGCAGCAGGTGGTGTGGAGGAGTGTGAGGAGAGCTGGGCGTTTTCCCAGTTAAGGTCTTCAACCTCTGCTGCTGTCTGAGCTGGCAGAGAAAACAAAGCTAACAGCGTGCAAGAAGCCAGAGTAAACAAGGGAGGGATACTTTATGATCACACACACATGTGGTTGAGTTAAATAGAATCTCAGTAGAGCCTGTGGATCAACTGTCACATGTCACGGTGGTGGAGGTCAGAGCGTGACTGCTAGTTGTTACCTTTTATAGGCCGTAATGTCCTCTCTGGTTTATAGTTTAAGCATTATTAATCCTTTCATAACTGCACCAGGGTTTTTTACTTAATAAGGACATGTTAAATAGCCCAGAATGGAAAAGAAACCATCTCAGGGATTATTAGGCTCTCACAAAGTTAGATTCATTATTCACCTTTTAGAAAATGTAACAAACACTCCTGTTATTTTTGCATGGAGATAAACACATCAGTCAGTCGTTTAAAGTCCCCGTCGTCAACTGATCAGCAGAGGTCTTTCGTTAAAAGAGGCTGATGATGACGGGTAGGATTCTGTGAGGAGGCTCACACATGGTTCCAAGATTTGAACTGTGCATCATTACTGGTTACTGCTAAACCTTAGTCTGAAGATATAGGCCTTAATTAAATGAGTAAACAATGCACCGACTCACTGGATTCAGTAAATATATCAGATCCACCACAGGTTGAAGACAACATGCAGCATTATTGCTCTCCTTGAGGTCATAGCAGTTAGTAAATACATACTAAACTGATCAACCACTCTGATACATGCAGGGAGATGTTAATTTATGTGTATTTAAGAGGACATTTTTATTGGCTGCCACTGCTGAATAAACAGAGAAAACGTGGTCACGGGATCTTATCCAAAGCAGTTGTGTAAACTCATGTAAACCTTTGGCTTTCATCTTATGTAGACATTATCACTGTTACAGTTTACACTCATTACAGCTGAGCTAAACTCACTCCAGTGGAGAGCATTGTTACTCAATATTTAACACGGTTTTAAACTCAGACTGCAATTAATTAGTAACTAACTGCTAACCTGACAGCCTGCCTGTTTGTTTGAACAGAGGCTACGATGCAGCACATGGGAGGAAAATGTCATTTCGAAGTGAAACTCAATGCATCATCACGCACAGTAATAACGTGTGAATATAAATCCTGATGAATGACGTCCATGTGTTTTTTTTTTGTGTTTTTCCAGGATAATCCAGCGAACCATCAGGGCCGCAGTGGAGCAGCACTTCTTTGAGCTGAAAACCTCCATCGACACCAACTACGACAGCCAAGGGTGAGAGTCCAGACACACGCATTAACATTCACACCTATACAGTACAAGCACAAGCATAAATACACGTTTATTTATTCGTTTCAGAACATTTTCACACTGAAGCTCTGTACAGCAAAACATGTTGTGCTCTACTTTTTGCCCTCCGAGCACCTGCTGGTAGGAACATGCGTTACACAGCTTCCTCGGTGGTCCATAGAACCATATTTGAAATAGTGAACATTATGTACGAAGGCACGGAGCCAGATAGATGGCTCAGGTTACCGGTAAACATGTTGACAGCTGTTATGTCAATTAGCAAACTCTACATGTTTAGGGGAGCATCTGTTCACTGGTCAGTCACCTCTAAGACAAAACAACATGTCGCAGCATTTCACACTGCATGCCGAAATAGGTTGGCACGCAGCACCACCACCATAAAGGCACAGTGGCAGTGTTCTCAGTTCATCTTATTTATGACCTTTTTGATTTTTTTTTTCTTCTCCAGAGTGAGTCCCAGTGAGCCTGAAGACCAGGGTTGTGATGGAGACGAGGCGCAACAAACTGACCCCGAGGACAGCCCCTGCGACACAGAAGGGGAGACCCCGCTCACACAGACCGAGCAGTGCATACAACAAAGCCAGAAAGACACACAGGTTTGTCGGAGACACAGAAAAACACACACGAACCGTCAAATTCATACTGCACATAAACACCTGCACATGATCAAACGCACACTGTGTGTTTGAGCCGAATAGACATAAATAACACACACACACATTCGAGAAAGAGCACAGAATCATCACACACACACACACACAGTGGAAATTTCCCTCAATAGACGTTCAGAAACAACACACACAGAGCCCAACCAGTTGCTGTGTGGGCTGGCAGCATATTTCCCATAGCTAACCTCCTTCCTGTCTCCCGTCTGTCGGTCCGTCCCAAGGCTGAATGTTTGATTTTATCAGCACAGTCCATCTTTGTTCTGTCCTGATGGTTACAATAGCTGGAACAGACCTGTTATTCAAATGCACGCACAGATTAATGAACACGCTGAGTCACGGAGGCAGTGTTTTGTTAAAACTTACAGTCACAGGGGGAACATCATACCCTCTGTATGCCAGGGATTCATAGTAGGTCGGCTCCACATTTCTTTCACTTTTTGATGAAAAAAGTATGAACAAAATTAGGATCACGTTTTCAAATCCCAGTGGCACAACTTGTATTGAACACATACAGGGAAACGTGTCTTAATTGTGCCACCTTAACTCCGTAATCCATCCAAGTGTTTCTAATATTTGCCACTAGGAAAAAATGTTTGGTACTTCCTCAATGCTAGTATCCCCACCCCTCCTTGAACCCCCCCTTTAAAGCCTCAGTGGTCCAAGAACCATTTTAGTGTCCAGACGGCAGGAGAGAGATGAGGAGCGGAGAACATGGCAGACAGAGGGAGATGTGTCCCGGGACTAATGAGAAACCTGTCACCTCTTTGAACAATAATCTACATCTTTAAATAGAAGAAGCAAAGAATGACAGCAACACCTGTGGGCCAAACTACAAAGAAACACACCCACCATTTACTCTCTTTACATAACAGTTGTAATACTAATGTAACATGTGCATTTTGTGCAGCAGGTCACATTTACTCATTGAGTCATCATCCTGCTCTTCACTACAACTCATTTACGAGCCACCGCAGCTTTGATTTTCTGACGGACTCAACACAAACGCTTTGGTGTGCATGTTTAGAGCCCTAAATCAAGCTGTAGCATTAGTTATGATGACCACAATGAAAGTTTCGCTTTGACTTTAAAGGGTAAGAGAGATAAGTCGGATAAATCATTAACTCATATAAATGTATGTAAAGAATGACCTCATTGTTTCCTTGTGGTGTTGAATATGGTGTTAACTTTATGAGAAGGCACTTGTTTGTGTCAGATTCCTATTCTTGCCTTTTCATGTCTCTTGCTCTGCTCTTAAGTTTCTAACTTCCATTCATTAAAAACTGTCAAATTAATGGTGAATTCTTGCTGCTGCTTTCCCCCAGGATTCATTTGACTCTGGCGCCGCCCTGGAGGAGAGCTCGGGGATGGACCTGGATGCAGAGGCCGTCGGAGACGCTGAGAACAACATCAACACTGCCAGGTGAGCTGGGTTTGCTTTCAAAACGTTGAGTTAAGTTTCACCTTATATCAAGAATATACAACCAAAGTTATCAGAGTGAGATCGAAGCATCATGGCCAGTATTTCAGGAGATCGAGGAACATGTGAGGCTTCATCTGGACAGGGTAGATAGATGTGTGAGTCACTGCACAGGTAGCTTGGTGCCTCGTGAGGAGAGGACTTCCTTCTCTCCCAGAGAGGAATGTAATTCTTTAACACGTGCAGGGATGTGGCATTGCTCTGATCACTTGAAACCTCACATTTACAAATCACCTGGACATGCTGTCTCAGCTGAAGCTCGTTTTTACACTGAAACAGACCTTTACTATCTCTGTCTCTCTCTCTCACACATAACACATAACTTGTACTCTCTTGTAGTTTGACACGTCACACTGTATCACGCCTCCAGCTTCTGATTGTTAACAAGCACACTTAATGTACTGTGATTGGTGTGTCACGTGGCATTAAATTGTAAAACTTAGTCGATGATTAAATGCTGTTTCACATCTATTCAGAGGGAAAAGGGTAAAAGTTACTGAGCAGGATAAAACAATCGATCGACACAGTATTGATTTTAGCTGTAACAAATGTGAGATTCTCCAACAGTTGAAGCTTTGACTCCTCCTCAGCTGACTCCAAATCGGGTTGAAGGATTATGACTAAAGTACTTTGGGATCTCCAAATTCATCATCATTAAATTGTTCTGCCGAGAGTGCGTTCACAAATGGTTTGGATTTTGCTCAAAGCCAAAGATTTCCAACGTCTATGAGGTGACTTGGCTTGTTGTAAACACTCGGTGTTTGCACTTGGAGACTGGTCAGGCTCTGGATTTATTTACACAGCAATAAACAACCACTCAGATATCTGAACATATTGTTTTAGATATTTTCTAAAATGACAATTTGGGAAAATATCACTTTTTTTTGGTCATAGTTATTTTTTAAAGTTGATCTCATGTTTCCTGTCTCTAATTATTCCAGGCAGGACAATCAACCCTGTGACAACATGGAGCAGACTCAGACTGACACCATAAGCTGTGTAAGTAGCAATAAGTGGGAATGTGTGTGTGCTGGCACTAAAATGATTTCTGTGTTGATTTTATGATGATATTACTTCAAGTCTATGTTACAGTATCTGTCCTTCCTTTTGTTCACTTTTAATTAATTTCTCTCTACTTTTGTACCTTCATCTTGAATCTTTTAATTTTTTCCTTCATTCCCTAATTTGTTTCTTTATTCCCTCTCTCTTCCCTCCAGGATTCGGACTCATGCCGCTGTGATCAGAACGCCAACACCAGCAAGACCAACAGGAACCGCCCGCCGCCAAGCCAAGCAAAGTCTGGCCACAACCCCCACCTCCAACTCTTCCCCGACAGCCAATGGGAAGGTAGGCGATACAGCGTCCAGTCAGTGGATTACAGAAGTACAAGTTACACAGTAAAGCAGACCCTTCCCATGGTTCTCTACTTTATTGTGATTTATTTATTTATGGATCTACCAAACACCGAATCCAAAGAAAAACCTGTTAAAAGTGAGAAGTCCCAATATGGTTCAAAAAATGATTTCTCCAAGTGGGCAAAATGCTGTTATTCTGCCATATTGATTAATTATTTAAGATTAAAAGTCAGTTATATACATTAATGTTATTGTCTTTACGATTTCACCAAATTCGCTCAATTTGTTAAAAGAATACTTTGTGAATTGTCATCTACAATTCTGTTAAATATGGAGTATTACTAAAGTTACACTTCATTGACTGAATGAAAGTTGGAGAGTGAAGTTGTTATGAATGACTGACCTCACTGCTCCTCGTCTCTGCTGTCTCATCTTCTTCTACATCTTCTTCTTCTCCTTCTTCTTCTTCTTCTCTCCTTCCTCCCTCTTGTCCTCCTTCCATCCAAACAGCGTCACCCCCCTCCCATCTCCACCTCCCTCACATAGACTTCTCATGTATGCATCTGCAAAAAGAAGGCCACGGTGAGTAGTTTAATGTCCACCCATCCACCAGCCCACCTGCTTTCCTTTCATCCGTTCGCATTGATCTTTTTATACGGATGCTTCGATCAGGATTTTTTTGGGGCTGATCACAGGGTCTATTTGAAGCCTTCTTTTGATCGTTTAACATTATTTATTTATTTAACTATTCACACTGTATTAACATTCAGATAGGACAAAGTATCATGAGTATGTGCAACATATTCCACTCTCTCATTAGCCCCTTTTATACAAAGATCCAGCAATGCTGCTGTAAAGAAGACCCCTTATTACACCGGCTTTCCTTTTTTTACACTGAACCAAACAAAGCCGTTGGCGTCTGGTGTGTGTGTGTGTGTGTGTGTGTGTGTGTGTGTGTGTGTGTGTAGCTCCACCATTCTGGCACTTCCTTTTTTACACAGACGTTGATTCGGCTCTTTGCCACCTCCGCTGCTGGCTTAGCGGCACGGATGCCCCCCCTCCCCCATTCCGTGTTCGTACCTTTTATGAAGAAGCGAGGCGGAATAACGGCGTAACAGTCTGAGTACAGACTGTGTAAAATGGGCTTTAGAGACACAACTCACAACTCAGGGGAAGCCATTTTAGCGGTTAGTCATCCGACGGGCTTTATAAAGACTAATCAAACTACCTGGAACAAATATTGTCCGATAATGATCGGGGGGCAGATTGATCAGAACACCCTTGGATTGGAGAATTTATTAATATATTATTACTATAAATAATATATTTAGATTTGCTTGTGTGATACTGATCGTAAGTAGATCCTCGCATGTGAAACACTTTCCTAACAAAGCTGCTGGACTCCTTTTCTTCCTCTCCTCTTTGCTCTTACCTCTTTGCGACAGGGTCACTTGGCGGATTGATCCGGACACCTTTCCTCTCTGAAAAACACTTCTTCCCCTGACTCACTTTCTCACCTCTGTCTTGTTATCGCCTTGACTCCTCCTTCCCCTCTTTTTTCCCATAGCGCTGACAGTCAAGACACCGTTAACCAGAGAGTGACTCAGCAGGGCATCGAAGGAGAAAATGAATGTGTTGTTTCATTCTCCCGTGCAGCTTTTGTGTGTTGTTAATATTACATTAATCCCTCCTTTTCCGACGTCTGCTAACGTGCTCTGACTCTTTGTTTCTGTCCTCCTCTCTCCAGACCCCGTCCCCGCTTTCAAATCCTGGCAGGACGACAGCGAGAGCGGCGAGGCTCAGCTCTCCCCGCTGGCCGGCCGCATGGTTACTCTCCCTCCTCTGTTGCTGGAGGAGGATGGCGAGGAGGACGTGGGGGAGGGAGGGCAGGAAGCCTCCCCCTCCTCTTCCCGCTCCCATCCTCACCTCCTGGCGCGACGCTTTCTCGACTTCGGAGCGCACGGTGCCCAGCGATTCCTGCAGCAAGACCCGGACGCCACCTCACCCACCAAAGCACAGAGGTACGATGAGGCGCGGACATCCAGTTGCAGCTTACTCACTACGAACTAGTTTCTGTTTGAAACCCAGGATTGTATTCATGTATCCTCCGTCACTCCAGGCCACGCCGAGCATCGTTTGGCTCCAAAGAGTCGATGAGAGGAGGCGATTCAGTGACCCATCAACTCACCAAGAAACTTCAGCACCTGAAGAAGAAAATTAAGCAGTTTGAAGAGCAATTTGAGAAGGAAAGGAACTATAAGGTACAGAGATACAGATTGTTGTATTGTTGAGCAGGAATATGAATCTGCTATTTTTTTTGAAGTGCTAAGACGCAAACCGAAAAAGCTAATTTACAAATCCTGCACAATGTGAACCACTTGTACTCAGTCTATTCACAACATTTCAGTCCTTAGACCGTCATCCTCCTGCTCCTCCTCCCTCCTTTAACTCCCTCTGACTCCTCTCAGTCTCTTTTATATACATGTGTATGTTGTAAATTGTGTGTCAGTGTCCTGAACGTTCCAGTGAAGCACTAACTCTCTCTCTCCTCTTCTCTCTTCTCTCTGCAGCCCTCTCACGGAGACAAGGCAGCTAACCCCAAAGTCCTCAAATGGATGACCGACCTCACAAAGATCCGCAGGCAGATTAAAGGTAGAACAACTAGCTCTATTTCCTGTGAACGTGCATTTGTGTGTGTGTGCGTGCGTGCGTGCGTGCGTGCGTGCGTGCGTGCGTGCGTGTGTGTGTGTGTGTTGGGGTTAGAGTGTCTCTGTGCCATCCTGTTCCATGCTGGACAGCTTGACCCTCCCCACTCCTAACCTCTGACCTTTGTAACAACATTGCATGCGTGCTGGTCTAACATCAACACATGCAGACACGCACATGCCGGTTGACGTGGCTCTCACATGCGTGGCTCCCACCCTCCAGTGTGCTGATGCGTCCTTGTGAACCCACATTCATTACCTCTGCAGTGAATTCAGTGAGGTGAAACGATGGATAAGACTTAAGTTATGCATAAACAGATACATAATATTTGCAAATATCTAGGAACCTCGATTTAAAAAAACATCTACTTTTTGATCAGATTTTAGGCTGCACGTTTTTGTCTTTTGATAAACTTGGTGTTCCTTGAAGCACAGGGTGTAAGATACGAGATATCTGATGTTTATAAATAGTTTTCCAAACTTTGACGAGTCTCTTGTGCATCGTTTCACCAAACTGAACAAACCCCATGACACTCGTCCACCCTCTCTATCTGAGGTGACGGCTCTCCTTGTCGGAGAACGCAGTGGCCGAAACATTTCTCTCTCTCTCTCTCTGTTTCAAATCAAAATTGAAAAAACATCAATAACGCGAGCACCCGCTCTCCACTTTCCTCCCTCCTCCTCCTATCGCCCAACCGACCGATTGATTGATTGATTGACTGATCGGCCAACCAGGACGCCAGCACCACCTTTTACCCAGAAGCACGCTGAGGCACCAGGCTTTGCTCCATTCATACAGACGCCACCATGCTCCCTCCTCCCCTTCCCCCCCCTCCTCTTCTATCTGCTCACCCCCCCATCACACACTCACCCCCCCGCTCCACCCGTACTCAGGCCTGAGCTCTAGACCGTATCACCTCAGTAAGTACCAACCCCTCAGTAAGTAGACATTGCATACACTACTGACGGTCACAATGAGGCGGCATTGTGAGAGCGTCTTGCTTCTTTTGTTTTGGTGCATTTCCTATTGAAACTGCATGTTGGGACGAAAAGTGGGAAGTAACGTGAGGAAGAGAACAGAGTTTTTTTGCTTGACTATTTGCTGACTGATATTTAAGAAATCTGTGTTTGTTTAGTTTTACTATCACTGTATTCTTATGCTTTTGCACAGGACAAGTTGACAAGTTGGTAAATGATATTTTCAGAGTGAGGTGACTTTTTATCTTGAGATAATATCCAGCCGTTAGCAGTACGACTGTCTATAACCATCAGACCGACTCAGAGGCTTTTGAAAGTCTTTGTTTTTTCTACAGCCAGATGCTGTTAGACAAATGTTGAGGCAAATGTTTTAGCTTGTTGTGTTTGGGTTTTGACTGGGCTCGGTGTTTGTGTGTTGTTGTTGTTCCGTGTGTGTGTGTGTGTGTGTGTGTGTGTGTGTGTGTGTGTGTGTGTGTGTCTTTCTCTTCATACTGTGACTGGCCGACTTTAACCACCGCAGCTGTCTGTCAGACTCCTGCATGTCTGATCACCCAGTGAAAAATGCTTAATGTACCGTCTGAAGATTTGTGTTTTTCTCCCCGTTCTTTTCCTGGTTCCTTCCTCCGTACTCTACCCTCACTATCTCCTCCCCGTTTGTTTCCCTCCTCTTCCTCCTCCTCCTCCTCCCTTATCACGGTCTTCCTCCTTCCCCAGATGCCAAACACCGCGCAGAGAGCGAGCTCGGCCCCCAGACTCGTCCTCGGAGCAACACCTTACCCAAGAGCTTCGGCTCCACGCTGGACCAAGGCGCTCACGATGCAGCAGGAGAGATGAAGGGCCAGGGCCCCACCAGGGAGGAAACACTGGAGCTGATCCAGCACAGGGTCAAAGGGAAGAAGCAGGAGGACGGCTGGCCTGATGACATCAAGGTACTGAATCAGGACACAAGTCTTTTCAATTACCCCACTTGATTAGACACTTGATTCATTGAAATATTGACACGGTATTTTTGCGCTGCATCCATGAACATGACAAGTGCTTAAGAGAATAGAAATAATAATAATAATAATCATTCCTTGCTTCAAAGACAAGATAAAACATTCGTCGTGTTTCCTTTTTGGGATGTTTGGGTTTATAAGACATGTTGGAATCTAAAAGTAAAATTTTATAGAATACTAATTAAAAAAATGCAAATATTAGTCATGTCAGCAAACATAGGAGCTCATTTTAAAATAAGAAATAAATGAGTGAAAATTGGAGAAAACATTTTTATGAAGGGAGCAGAAATAAACACAAAGTCAGATATAAAACAAAGTACTTTGTTTGGTCATCCCATACTGTATCACACTTGGACTGTTGGCATTAAACACGTAGACATCACATAAATAATGTAAAAGAGTTTATATATATCGCTATTACATGATGTGTTGTGTCTGTCTCTGTAGAAGATGACCAAGGAGCAGTTGTCCTGTGAGAAGACGGTCCTTCAGAAGAACCTGCTGCACTATGAGGGCCTGCATGGTCGACCAGTAAGATACCAAGCACCCTGCATTCTGTGAAGCTGGAACACACATTTAAACTTGTTGTAACCTGTTTATTGCTCTCACTCACTACCTTCACTCAGGTGACCAGAGAGGAGCGTCTGGTGGTGAAGCCTCTCTACGATCGCTACAGACTGGTCAAACAGATGCTCACCAGAATCAGCATCACACCGATCACAGTACGTGCACATAATCACATCATTACATCTGTTACACTATGTTAGCAACTGTTAGCAATTATATCTTGTTATTTTATTGTAATGTACAACTAGCTAGAATTTCTTCAGTCGACAACATCAGTCTGCATGCGTTTCAGCTAGTGTACTTGTAAAAAACACTCAAACTATTTGAGTATATATTAAAATAAGAACTTGTTCTTGTTAAAGTCATTCTGTCTTTACTGCATGTTAAACGAGTGCACACACACACACACACACACACACTTCTCCCGCATTAATCTCCCCTCTCTCCCCCAGGTGTCCCCCTCCAGTAAGAGAAGAAGTCAGACCCTCCAACCAATCATCGAGGGCGAAACCGCTCATTTCTGGGAGGAGATCAAAGAGGAGGAAGAGGAGGAGCAGAAAGAAAGAGAAGAAGAAGGAGGAGGAGGAGAAAAAGAAGACAACAGGGAGGAGGAGCGGGAGGAGGAGGAAGAAGAGGAGGACGAGGAGGAGGAAGGAGAGAGCAGCGGTGGGGAGATGCAGAGCTCTGAGGTCATCATGGCCGTCGATCTTGTGACCTCGTCTGAAGGATCAGCGAGGAGCCAGAACCTTCCCGACAGGCAGAGCGACTGTCCAATGAGAGCCAAGATGGAGGAGGGGTCGGGGAAGCTGGCGCTTGACCTTCGGCTGTCCAGCTCCAACGCCTCGTCCATGTAAGAGCACGCACACACACACACACACACAACCTCTAATCTTCTTCATTAGCTCAGGTTTGTACATCCAGGTCTCTTACCTGGTCATGATCCTGACAACTGATCGCTCACACCACCACAGCCCACTTCCTGCCCTACCTTTCTCTCTGGACTCTTAATTTATGGTTCAAGATCCAAATGACTGCACATATTTAAGTATTTATGTGCCTCAGTCAGTGTAGAAACGAGACAGCGAATATCATTTAAAAGCATCTCAGAGGTTTAAATATCATGACAGCATGTGTAACTACGTTCTCACGCATCCCGTCGTCCTCCAGGCCAGAGCTGCTGGAACAGCTGTGGAAGGCCAGAGCAGAGAAGAAGAAGCTGAGGAAGACCATCCGAGAGTTTGAAGAAGATTTTTATCAGCATAATGGAAGGTAGGTGGAAGGACACGCTCACTCACATTCACACTTAAACATAATCCAGACTGTCTGCATAAGGATTTCAATGTAGCTGGTGTAAACACCCGGGCTTTTCTTTGTTTTGTACGTGTCACCATAAATTCCTACACAGATGACAGATGAAGTGATCATTTGTGAGTTCAATTTCTGCTTTAACGTGGCAAGAAACCTGTCACACTACATGTTGAACCCCAACCAATTATAGCTAACAGCCTGTCGCAAACTGTGCGCCGTGAGAAGGTGCCAGAAATGTCGTCCACTGTGGTCCAAAGCATCACGGAGGATAAAGCTGAAATAGTTCTACTGCTGGGGCTTTGCAGGGCATCCTGGTTGCAGGGTCTTCCACTACGAGACACCATACAGGATAAATGACAAATGTCCCTTATCTGCTATTGTGTATTCTGACCCCGTCTAGAGAGAGCTGATAAATGTTCAGTAAAACGGCCTCGGAGCAGCCCAGCAGAGAGACCATTTGAGGTTCACTCATCAGTAGCTGCTGGGGGTCGAGAAAGTAAGCGTGTGTCATTTAGAGAGCTCATTCTCCTCTGTCTCCCTCCTCGGCTGTAGAAATGTGCAGAAGGAGGACCGGGTGCCGATGCTGGAGGAGTACAGGGAGTACAAGAGGATCAAGGCCAAACTCCGCCTGCTGGAAGTTCTCATCAGCAAACAGGATTCCTCCAAATCCATCTAGACCCGCCCTCCTCAGACACCAGCTGTCACCGCACACATCAGCCTCTCGTCACTTGCTGCGAGGACCCGCCCAGGATGTCCATCGGTCTGTCAGACGTCACCACACCTGGGGGAAGGGTGGAGCAGACACATCGCATGACTTGCCATGAAGCAGGAGACTCATGATCTCCACTTTGGTTTGCTGCATTTATGTCATGGAGAAAATCAGAGTGACAGAACGATATGTAACTTGTATGTAAACATTGTTTGTAATTACAGGAGCATTGTGATGGGGGTCTCCAGCCGTTGATGGTTATTATAACTGAAGAAACCAAAGTTTTGGTTCATGGGGTCCGAGTTTCTGGTAGTACTAGCACCGATAGTCCTTAACACTGCAGTTAATTGAGTTAACAGTTGTTAGTGGTATTAGGATTCTTTCTGACCAGTAAAGAAATGTATATAGTAGTAAGTAAGAAGTCTCAAATGGTTTTAAATACTTTATCGGTCTACTTTTACAAATCTTTACAAAGAAAAAGTAAAGACGAATGTGCTAAAAGGACTTTTAGCTGCTTTTTTTTTTTTTAGCTCCTGGCAGTTTGGTCCTGGGACTGTTTTTCTGAAAAGCGTTGAAGCATTGACGGATCTTTGAGCAGATTTTAAGCATTTTGATCACAAAATCATTACATTTGTTTGATAAATGTAATGATTATTTATATGCGACTACAGATATTTTCTTTGTTGGTATTTTCAGAATTCAGTAATGTAGACATCTTTGCTAAAAGTTTAACGAACCACTTTTAAAAGAAGGTGACATGAGAAGCATTTGTTTGCTCCTATTTTCCCATGACATGAATGCAGCACCACCAGTTAACCTAAAAATCACTCCCGTCAGCCACAACTGATCCTCTGCTGCATTTCATCTGAAAAAAACATGGCCGCAGTTTAGAAATATGAAGAAAAAGGAATCGTCCTCACTGTTCATCTTCATCACCAACTCAAGACTTTTCACTCGTCTTCTGAGAGAAAAAAACACATTTGGACTTTTTAATTTCAGGACTGTTTCTTTTGTCTTTGTTCTCCGTGTTTTTGTTTTTCCTTCATGAGGAGGAATCTCACTGGACAGCTCGAGGACTGGCATTTTAGACGCTCTTCACTCCCGACGCGTGTCCTTTCTTTGGGACGTCGTACCGTCTCTCGCTTCAGTGAGTCACAGTTTGTTGAAGCGGCCCGATCGAGGTGATCGGTTGTTTTATTCCGTCAGTAAAACTTCATTCAACATCCTGGATGCTTCACACCTTGTGACTGATTTTAAAACTCATTCACAAGTTTCAAAACAAGTTTGTTCGTGTTCTTTTGTTCAAAAAAAAAAAAAAAGTGTATACATACATGTTTGTGAGACACTGCTGTTCACGATTTTGCTCGAATGAAAAACAATGTGTTGTATTCTAAGAAAAACATTATGTATTCACTCTGTGTGACCTTAGAGCTGTTTGTGAAAGTCTGAGTGTCCTTTTCATTTGTTTCTATCGTTCAGCATTTATTTTGATCTATTTTGGCAATATTTGTCAAATAAGATGTACACACGGTTGGCAACTTTGAACTTTGTTTCCTATGAGCTTCTTGTGTGAAAGCACTGCTTTTAAGTCGTCTTAAGCTTTAGTTTTCAGGACAAACACTCGTGATTTTGAGATTTCTGATGGCACTTAAAGGCACCATTTGACTGAAGATGCTCATATGAAACAGTTGATTTTTTAGGATGTAGGTGAATATAATTGTTGCAGAAGTCATCCAGACATTTCTATACTGTGTCTATCTCTCTTGTTTTTCACTTGTTCAGTTTGCTGCATGGGGGTATGGCATGTCCTGAGGGATTATGGGTAATAAATGCTGTGGAGAGGAGCCAGTATCTGGTCCACGTTGCTGCAGTTTCTTTGAAACCAAAGGCATGTTGGCTACAGGAAGTGGTAGCCTGACTATGTTTGGTATCAGTGCAGCCAGACGGAGAGTTTCCTGAATATCACTATGACTGTTACTGAGTAACTAATTTATCTCTGGTGGTCCTCGATGTTTTGCTTGTATTGTATCGATGAGGTGCCAACACTGCCAGCACTGATTTTAAACGCAGAGAACAACCTTTGTCTGTGGTTAACTGATCCTTTTTCTTAACTGGGGGGTTTGAATAGCACGTTAGCATGATGTCCACGAGGCTGAGGAGGGAGACCCAAGTGTCAATCCTCGGCTGCGTTTCTCTTCGGTGGAAGTTTCAGTCGCAGTGTAGTTTCAATTCCTGCTGGCAGGTGAAATGAGGGCAGGTGAGGGAGGTTAGACGCGTGAGTTCGACCTCTTAACCTCTCCTCCTCGGCCCTGCCGTCTGGTATCAGACGGAGGTCACGATGTCGTCGTGTGATTTTTGAAATGCGTGACGGAGAAATTTCCAACCAACGCTAAGCTTTAGCTGGTAAGCTAGTCAGACGTTTCAGCAGGTGTTCTATTCTCAGAACCTCTTTGGCTCGTTACCTGTGAGACGTTTATGGCCAATAAGACAAAGTAGTGCTTTTCTTTCACAAATCAATGTACATTTCCTCTGCCAGAATCAACGTTGATTGCGGTCTATTTGTCAGTCAGTGGACGGCGGATGAGTCGAGGGTTTGTGTGTCTGTGAGTGCTTGAGGAGGATGCGAGGGAGGGAGCGGCGTGTTCGTGGGGTTGATGTAAAAAGATGTTATTTGCACAGCATTCACAGAATGCAGCCCTTTTGTGTGTGTTTTTTTCATTTGTTATTTCTAAAAAATTAAGCACTACTTCTATACAAATATAAATATATAGTGTACATACAAAAAAAAAAAAAAAAAAACACCCGAAGGAGTGAATGTCAGAATTGTTTAAATTATTGCAAACATTATGTTTGGCCCCCTTTGGTTCTTTATATTTGTGATGCCCTGAGAATGTTTTTTTTTTTATTATTATAAATATTGCTATAACTATCATAACCATTATTTTGTGTGATAATGACAATAATAATCCTTTTGTATCTACTCACAAACTGTAAAACCAGCTGTAGACGTTAGTCTGGCACTGTGTGTGGCTAATCAGACATGAACCTGCTCTGTTTCCTACATTTATTTTTGTCGCTCTGTGTAATATAAGCTAATATAGAAGCAGTACTGTAGTAAGCTTGCATGGCAAAAGAGAACATAATAGTATGAATAACATGATGTATTGTTTATATTGTTTGTGCCATGAAGAAGCAGCAATAATAAGTTTTGCGTGGAGGTTTTACAGTATCGGGTCATGGGTAATGTGCGGGATTGATTTTGTGTGTGAATAATTGAGGTACAATACTATTTTTTGTTTTTGTTTTCAGCCGAACACACACATTGTCTCAAACGGTGTGTTTTTACCACTGTTGTCAGCATAATGTTCATGTTGGCGCTGCTGAAAAACCAAAATAAGAGTAACATTTTAAGGTGAATAGGGATTGAAAAGCCAGCCAGATGTGTCGTATCTGAAAACATTTCCGTATTTATCATCATTCAAAAAGTGGAAACAATCCATCATCGATCTCTGAAGGGCTTTTCTTTTGAGTTTTTAGATATTTTTTTGTCAAACAAGGTGAGCAGTTGGTTTGTTTGGCGCCTCAGTTTCTTTAAACCTTTGTTTTACATTGTGCCTGCAACAGAGTGGTCAAATTCACGTTGTAAACTGTAATGTATTTCGTCTCCGTGGGTGTGCCGTCTGTTTCATCTCACTCCTACCCATCTGACATGCATGGTTGTTTCTCACATCTGGAATTCACAGCAGACGTTTCTGTTGAAGATGTCTCGCAGGTCATAGCTCCTCTCAGAAATGTTTTACTGTAAAGCCTCGAATGTCATTTTTGAGTCTTTAAATCTCTTTTAAGGACAAATAGTCGCGTTACTTACAGATGCTATCGACACAGTTAGAAATATGATACTTTGCGACATCTTTGATATTGAATTTTGCTGTGAATTCCTTTGACCAGAGAGGTTTCGTCCTCCTGCAGTTCGTTCACAGGTAATGCTGTCTTTTATCACATCAATATATTGTATGCGTGTATGTATCTATAAATGTTTTCTTACTTTGTGAATGCTTTTTTTTCTGGGTTAATTTTCTTCATTAACAAAAAGGCTGAGCAAATACAATCAGTAACAAACATTTACACGTGAAAAATAAAATTTACAAGCTTGCCACATCAGTTCTCTTGATTCTTAAGTCTTAAATGAAACTGTTGACGGGGCGTGTGGTGTGAAGAGACCTGGTTAAAATGTACCAAATGACCAATGAGAGCAATTTTTACAAAGATATATAATTTTCATGATATAGTGGTATATAACATGTAATGATAAATATTGTACTTTAGACTGACGGGGTCGGAACGGTCTTAAAAAGTATAAAATGTTGATAATTAAGGCCCTTAAAAAAATCTTAAACGCCATTTTGTAGCTTGTTTTTAATGTATATGTTGTCGAATCATAAAGACGCACACAGTCTGCTCCTCATTATGTTTTATATATCTCTGCTGTTGGGGAGTCGGGCACGTACACATGAGCCTCGTTTCCATCCTGACGTTTAACATCCTCATGCACAGTGACAGGTGTGTAGACCTGTCACTGAGAAGAACGGCAACTAAGAAGTGCAACTTCCCCGACTGTTGAATCAGAGAAGTTTTTTAGGACATGAATGTTGTAATGACTTAATTTGACATTTTCATTATACAATATATTAGGATTTTTTAAATAAAATATAGTTTCTTGCATTTAGGAACTCATACTTTGCTTTATGTATTTTATTGCTTTTTGTCTTCGAACTTAATATTCAGTGTTTCCCATTTTAGTAGCTACTTTAGATGTAAAGTTCTTTCACCTGAGGTTTTTATAAATAGCACAGGTGTTACTATTAACAATAATTATGTCCTCAATCCATTATAGTGAACCCGTTTCTGATAATCATACTTAGGATTGCCAAACTAAAAAAGTAAAGGAGACTGAGAACATCACAGATTAAAGATGTAATAATTCAACATAATTGAGATTATCTATATATAATCTGAGGAAATGCTTAACAAACATCTGCCAGTCATAATGAAATTACAAAATAGTATATAGAATATATAAAATGCCCCCTCGTGTAACTTTACAGTTTCAGACAATAGCCGGTTTAAAGTCTTGCAAAGTAAGCCTGTTTAATGTGCGTAGTTCATTTCAATGATTTCAAGTTTGACACAGGTGCAGAAGCTTCACCTGAACGTATGAAAGTTCAAACCACACAATCTCCCCAACAATCAATCAATGAACTCACAATATCAACTGTTAGGTTTACAACATCCACAGTTTATATTAAAAATATAACATCTGCGCTTAGTAAGAACATTATACATCTGAAAACTTCCATACCACACGATGTGACACACAAAAACTAAATCTCACGTCAAGGTCCATTTTTTTAGCTCTGGACTCGTCTTCGCCAGTTGAGGCTGAACTTTGAACTGATCTCAATCAGCTAATAAGCGCCGAGTAATATGACCAGAAGCTCCAGAACAGCTACTAAATGGACCTTGAAGTGAAGTTCTTGTCAACCTCTGTTTCCAAAGTCAAGACTGAACAATGAACCTCAACCATACTGGTGTTTGTTTGGATCTTTTAGCACGTTTAGTTAGAACTTCCTGTTGATTATTGTCTGCGGTAGAACAGGGTTCTTAGACCAATGAATGAGTGGTTTCACACACACGGCATAAGACTTTGACATTTGACTTTAAAAAAGAAGCTGCTGATGTCACTCCATGATTACGTTTGTTTCTTAAATTGTGATTTTCTGACCCACCTGCAGACACATGAATGCACCACAGAGTCCATGCTATTTGCCTGCATTGCTGCACAATAACTATTAAAAATGTATATTGGCGCACTGGGAATTTGGGGCAAATTAGAGCTTTAAAGCACCTGACATTTTGCCGTAAAGCCCGTCTTGGTCATGATGTATCAGTATGTCAAAATGTTGCCAACTATAACTGTAAGCTCCAGGTCCATGCGGGGAGATTACTTTCAAATATTGTTGCAGTGTCTCGAGCAAGTTTCAACTATTATCATATAAACTGAGACTCACTTCCTGGAAGACGTGAAAAAGTCAATTTGTCAGTCGAAATGTATGAGGTGGTTAAACATACAAAAACAACAGCATGGTCCTTTTTTTGTCACAGGGTTTTAAAAATGACAGTCGATCGCATCCTTGACTTCTGGAAGATTGCAGGCAGAAGTGAAAGGTTTGGCTGAGAACTCCTTTCATAAAGCAGCTTCTACAAATCTATTTTTTTTTTTGTTCAAAAGCTATGGCACCACTCAGTCAACAAAACATCTAAAATACACCCGTCGTCGTCTGAATTATGTGAATGGAGCACAAAGTGTAACAAGGCTGAGGAAATGAAATGAGAAGCGCACTTCGATATTAATAAATGCTATGTGATCAAATGCTTCAAAACAATAAATAGATCTTAAACCTGCATCGTTTACATTATAGTTCAACGGTTGAATGTCTACAGTATATTTTGACACGCTCCCTCAGACAATAAACAAACAATTGTTATGAAGAGATTAAAAGCACAATGTGCCTCCAGCATTATTCTGATCAGCAAAACTGGCACATTTGTTTTTACAATTTCTGGTGAAATGATTGGCCTTTAAGTGGCGACTTTAAATGCTCCCATGAGTACGATCAGTAACAGACAGACGGCCGAGCAGCCGTCTGTCTGGCAGCAGGTCAGTCAGAAAGACAGGCAGACGTCCGGCGAGTCAGTCAGTGCAAGTGATCAGTGCATCAGTAGTGTGTCGACATCAGACTCAAGTCCTACCGGGTCCACTGGTCCGGGGTTTTGAGCCACAGCAAGTGGTTCTCAACCTCTTTTAAAAACAATCTCAAAAATATTAAATATCACAGCTGATTTGCATACAAGAGAATTTCTACATTCTTTGAATTGTCTCGCAGCTCTCTCGGTCCAGGCCTCCGGGTTGAGAACAAATACACTCTGGCAGCTGTGGCCTTTTGCTGGCGGTCGGGGCAGAAATAGAGTTGCCATAAGCCGATGTGTATCGGAGGATCGGTGGCAAGTTGTCAGTTTTTTTTTTTGTTTTTTTTAAAGTCTCCCGCGGCGTGACCAGATTTCCAGGATCTTGGATTAACGCTCCGGCAACAGTCAAACACAAGACGGTGTCGCAATGCCCCGGTGATTGCAGCAAAGGCAGCCAGTCAGCCAGAAATCAGCAAGCTGGTGGTTAAAAGTATTCAGTTTCTCGGGTGTGATGCGGTCCATCACATGAACACCACCGAGCATCTAAACACACATCGTTTGGTCCACATCGTCAGCTGATACAGCCGCTTGTTATGTGCTTTTCATATGAAAACTCACTCATAAGCACACCATCCTGTGGATATTGTTATTTATCCAGTGCAACAGTGTCCTTTAAAAGTCAGGATGTCACTCATTAAAATGGACAAAGCAACAAAATAAGGTTGTGGTTTAGCGCATCCTTGATTCAATCAGCTGCAGATTGAGAGCGGCTCGGCCATTTGGAAAGTGTTCATCTCAGGCGTCACATCTCTGACGTCTGAAGCTCAAGAGGCAGACAGTGCGAGTCTGATGCTGGGGGGGGGGGGTGGTCATAACGGCTTGTCAATCACTGCGACTCCTGTAGGAGTGAGAGAATTAAAGAGTCACACACTGTCACATGTATTTCTCTCAGTGATGTAGAAGTGTTGCCCGCGTTCAGCGTGCGTACCTGCATAGCTGCGTCCGTTGCCCATGTTTGTGGGAATGAGGCTCCACTTGTCTATGGCCGGGTTGTAAAACTCCACAGAGGAGAGGTTACAGGAGCCGTCGTCTCCTCCGATCACATAGAGCAGCCCGTTAATGGCACAGACGCCTTGAGGAGAGAGTTGGACACGTTTTAACAACTCGGACAAAACCCATTTAACATTTCATCTATCAAGAAGCTTATGCCTGTCCTGATTTTGATAAATCTGCATCGTGGTAGATAATGTTCACAGTAAGTATTATGGTATGTGAAGGCAACTAAATAAAAACATGTACCCTTTAATCACTGAGCTTTTGTAAAACTGTTAAGACTCTTGAAACCACAGGATCAAATACTCAAGCAGGTTTTTTTAAACCTACTTGTATGCAGTTTCTAGCATCGACAGTTACCTCCTATGTGCAACAACTGGTTGGTGGATGTTGCGTGTCTGTGGTTGTTATCTGACCTGCGTTACGTCGGCACATGTTCATGTCACAGACCAGTCTCCAGGTGTTGGTCTGTGGGTCGTACACCTCAACGCTCTTCCTCACCAGGGGGCCGTCGTGTCCTCCTGCTGCATACAGCTGACCACTCAACACTCCTACACCTGGACAAACACAATGTAATATGTATTTAGACACAAGCAAGGGGGCCTTCATGTCAGTACAGTGTAATAATGAACTGTAGTAGTTGTGATATTTCTAGGATTTTTGCTCGTACAATTGCTTGTACACCACCGGGTGGTGCTGTTGCTCAATACGGCAAACATTGTACAGTTTGTATAACATTGTATAGATTCATCTCCAGTGTGTAAGCATGTGTGCATCTCTGTTGGAGAACCAAGAGTTAGGGTTACAGCTGTATATGTGTGTGTGTACTGTGTGTGTGTGTGCGTACCTGCTCCACTGCGGCGTGTGCTCATGTCGGCTACGTAGCACCACTGATCAGCAACAGGGTCGTACTCTTCCACTGTACTGAGGCACTGACGGGATGCTCCATCATAGCCTCCTACTGCATACAACTTACCTGCAGACACACACACACACACACACACACACACACACACACGGTTATTACAATAGGTGACATCAGAATTCTGGCTTTTCCTTTAAAATGATGTAACCCCGGTCCCTCACACACTTCTCGTCTTACCGTCGATCACTCCCACTCCCACACTGCTGCGTCTGGTGTTCATGGAGGCGACATATATCCACTCGTTGGTTTTATAATTGTGGACTTCTACTGTCGACAAACCTGAAGGAGAGCAAAGACAAACAGAACTAGCAGATCAGAAATCATCACTGATAGGTTAGAGTAAGACTGGATGTGTGTCGATCAGTCTGTAGGTGTCAACGTTTTGCATCCAGCTGATAGACTGGAATTGGTATATTTTCAGTGTGTGCGTGTGTGTGTGTGTGTGTGTGCGTGTGTACCTATACTGCCGTTGAAGCCCCCCACGGCATACAGTAACTCCCCCAACACAGCAGCTCCCAGTGTACTGCGCCTCTCCTGCATGCTCGCCACCGCACTCCACTGGTCTCTCACTCCGTCGTACACGTCCACAGTTCTCTCCCGCAGTGAACTGTTGAACCCCCCGATTGCGTACACGCGGCTCGCCATCGTAACCACACCTGCACACGGACACAATGAAATGTGAGAAAGCTTGGGGATAATGTTTCACCACATAATGATGAGTTTGGTTAATCTCTTAACTGAAGCTGCTGACACTCAATGGACTACACTAGTGGCTGTGTTTTGGTTTCTAAATTATAGTGTTGGAGGAAATCTAGCACACCGGTTGTTTCCGGTGGCTAGAAAAGAGTTTAGCTTGTCAGGTAAAAAATAGAAGAACTACAGTCAGAGTCACATGACGCCGTACTAAACACAAGCTGACCTGCCCGGCAGCGTCTTGAAGGCAGGTCCGCTACTTGGTACCATCGATCCTCCTGGAAGTCGTAACACTCCACGCTGCGGATCGCCTTCGGAGCCTGTCCGCCCACCACAATCATCACCTGCACATGCACACAGTCACACAAATGAAAATACATATCTGATACAGCTGCTACATGTTTCTTGTATGTGTGATTTGTGTCGTTGAGCGCCGTGTGCGACGCTGTACGCGTGTGTTTTTGTGTACTTTTGGGATGCTGATGGGAGTTCGTGGGCGGGTCCTGTCTGTCTTGATGAGGTGCCGCTGGTCAGCTGGCAGCAGGTGATACTTCATCGCTTCTATGAGAAAATCTTTACAGGTGCTGTTGTTCTTTATCAAAGCCTCTTCCTCCACGATCTGAAACAGGGACCAGAAGTTTAACCGTCACTTACAAAAGAAATGAACGGCCATCACTCACTACAGTATTTCTAGATATCCTAGGATCTGCTAATGTGTAGTGTCACTCATCGCTTCTTTTACCTGCACCAGGTAATCCCTCGTCAGCAGTGGGAGTCTGACATGCTCCATCAGTTTGGGCATGTTCTCCAGACGAGCCGGCTTATCGTACTTGATCCACGATATCATCGCCTCAAACACCTGCAAGAGAGAGACGGAGAGACTCAAGCTTTGTTTACACTCGCGTGTGGCACCGTGGCTCAAACTCAAATGAATGTAAAACATGTCGGGGTCTTAGACTTTTGTAGTGATCCACCCAGGAATAAATCACAGCAGATAATTCAGTGTTGACTGATAGCAGCAGCCAGTGTGACAGTGAAGAATGTGACAGTGTGACTCCGTCACTCTGACTGCTGCTGACAGCACAGATGACACACAGATGCTCCCTGAGACGCGTCTGCTTTAGTGGATAACAGCAGAGGGACATAACGTCCTCTGGAACACTGCTGCTGATGAGGACGCATGTCTTTAGTACAGCCACAGACCGTTCTCAGCTCCCACTAAAATCTCGTCCCTTTCCTGACAGACTTTATCTCTTATTTTGTGTTCCTTAAGAACACAATTCTCACATCTTTTCACCCACAAAGTTATCAAATTACAGAAGTGTGTGTGTGTGTGTGTGTGTGTGTGTGAGAGTGTGAGTACGTGCATCGGGCTCTCTGACCTTCTCCTCTGTGGAAACAGTCAGTTTGTCGCTGGAGATGAGGCTGCACACCTGCTGCAGAGAAAGGCCCAGGAACTCTTCTCCCTGCACCACGTCAGAGAAATGCTGCTCTGAGAGACAAAACACAAACTAAATATTTTAGTTAATGAGCTCTGTGACACACGAATATGACGCCAAACTGCCGCAAAAGCTCATGTTTATGCCCTGGTGTGATTTGCAACATCTAAAACTCAGTTACGTAAAAGCACACACACACACACACACACACACACACACACACACACACACACACTAACACACACACAGGGGCAAAGATGACTGATGATTTGTATGTGTGAACATTCAGAAGCTTACCAGCGTATGCGTGGGACTGGTCCAGAAGCTGTGTGCATGTGTGCAGATCAGCGAAGGCTCTGATGCCCAGACAGTTGGTGGGGTGAAGCTGAGACTGCAGGAACTCACAACACACCTGACGAACATCCATCAGCTGGAGGAGGCTGGCCGCCGGCAGCAGAACCTGCAAAGGAGATAACTTTAAAACTCAAACTGGATTTTACTGGTGAAGGAACCGACTTGGGCAGCCATATTCTGTGTCATCTCGCAGTGTGATGTAGCTACGTGTGTTTTTCTCTTTCACCACATTTCTTTACAAGCTCCTCCTTTTAGCCTTTACACCATTAAATGGACAGACGTGGAGGTTAACACCAGAAGTACAGTACGGCGTTCATGTTACAAAGCAATAGGCCTGGAATGGGAGTGTGCAAGTACAGTATTTGATGTCTGTTAGTGTGTCAGGCAGGCAGTGTGCTGTTGAAAGCATGATGCTACAACACAAAGACTCCCACTGCTACATCCCCACACACATAAACTTAAGTAGGTCAGTGAGACAGTCCCCGTCTGCCTCTACACCTCTCTCGTCTGCCGAGCACACAAAGCCAGCACTGAAGGCAGCACAAACGAGTTATATTGTACAGTGAAAACACACAGTTCAAGAATCTTCTAATAGTCAAAACACACACGTCACGCATTGTAGAGCGAGCCAATCAGGCGGGCACGGCGCTAACAGTGGGAGGATTTCCTGCCTCTCTCCATGCACACTTCCTGTGCTAATAATCAGAGGAAGTTTCCTGCCTGCAGCTCGATCCTGCTGCATTCATTCAACCCGGCGCCACAGTTACCGAGAGTTAATGCCACCGAGACAAACAAGGCCTCGACCCACAGCTTTCAGAGCGAAGCACAGCTCACAAGCATTACCAGCTCTCCTGGTGAGAAACACCGGCTCCTCAGGCAGGTCTGAAATCTAACGGACAAACCAAAACAGTTTGAGCGATCGGTTTCCTTTATGATAAACAAAAACTCTCGTGTGTTTGAAATCATTAAAAAGTAAATAAAATGGTTTTATAAATCAACTTTCTGGTTCTTTTTCCCCTTATTTGGTGTCTGATACAGATTTCTCTCCACTTTATTGTCTGAAACATTTGATGTAATTAATGTGTTTTGAAAAGTGCTCTAAGAAACACTGAGAAAGTAAAGGATAGAAACTTTCACAAACTAGACGTTCAATTTTATTTGGGTTGTTTTCTTTCATCTAAAAGCCCGCTCACTGACAACCGCTAGACATTAGACCAAAAGCCTAAAAAGAGTGTGTTCTGAGTGAACAGTATAACAAAAAAAAGGGTTCAAAACTGCTATAACCACTGTCTCCACTGCACACAGAATGCTAAAATCTCTCGGTTAATAGCAGCGTGTTGTGTTGTTGCTCTGACTTTTGTTCAAAACAAAGGACTGCACACAGGAAAAGGTCAAGACAGCAGCGACAGCACACGTTTCCTTCTCCACGACAAGGAAGCTTCATAATTGTGATTAACGCTGTGAGCGCAAATCTTTTTGCCGGGAGCAGCAACTCTACTTAATTATCCAAACTGTAAAAAAAATCAGCTCAGCTATTGTATTGCAAACAATCCCCCTGCAGCTAAATGTTTAAAGTGAAACCTCTGACAGAGGAGAGGAGAAGCTGAGAGGGACACAACTCACAACAAGCCTCGTGGGATAAACAACGAGAAGACGTTGCCGATTCTCTACGCTGTGACATCAACATTTTTAAAGCAAAACCAGAGCTGGAATTCAGGTAAAAGCCAACATAACAGATGTAAAAAGAAAAAAAACATCTGGTGAAAACAGGAAGACACTTTCACTCCCTTCCTCCTTGCTCTCCCTCTTCCTTACAAACACTCTCTAAAGCCGTGTTCCCCCCCATGGTACAGCTCTATATGTGGACTGACGCACCGCTTTCACTCAAGGAAACGCAAAAATCACCATTCTAAGCTTAACACACACTCTCACCTGGACGTTGTCCTCTGTGACGTCTATCTCAGCCGTGTAGATGTAGTCGACCAGCTTCCTCAGGGTCTGTCCGTCCACCTCTCGGATCTCCACCTGATGGGCTTTGCTCTCACTCATATCCCCTACAAAACACACAGTTTTGTAGTTGAGCACACACTCGCACACATCAGATGTGATGTCAAGCAAACAGTAGAGTGTGTGTGTGTGTACCTGTGAACATGGCACAGAAGTAGGGGCTACAGGACGCCAGGACCACCCTGTGAGCCGGCACTTCAACGCTCCCCGCCACCAGCTGGACGTCACACAGCATCTTTTTACTGAAGACCGAGGAGAAAGAAGTGTTTTATTATAACTGTCTGCAAATATGCACATAGGAGCCAGCAAAAGTATATTTTAAGCCAAGTATTGACAGGAGGGCTGCCTTCCAGAAAATGTGCCAATTAAGGTGTTCATTTCCAGGGCTGTACTTAAAGATGACTTGTAGTATTACATGTTTTTCCTGACTCACAAAAGGTGACTACAGTCTCTTCATTCACAAAAGGCCATTTGTATATAGTGTCTTCATTCTTTGACACCGTCAGCAACACACCTCCTCAGCTCGTTCATCAGCTGGAAAGCCTTCCTCATGTGCGTCTGGTTGAAGGTGTGCATCCCTCCATTCACCGTGTCCTCCTCCGAGTCCGTGTTGCAGGTTGGACGTGGCGAGGCCGGTGTGGCCACCACACTGGTGAGACATGAGAGGCAAGTGTCTGGATCAGTGGAGATATAGACGTTTACCCAAACAGTTAAGACGCGCTACCTTCTGGTTCACCTCTAGGGTTGTGAGAAGACGACGGGACGGGTAGGACACAACGCTGAATATTGTGTCCCTTTTTGTTGCAATAGTGTAGCGATGAACGCCTTAATCCGGCAGGTAAGAACACAGGATCAGACACAAAAAGAAAGGAAAGATAAAGTTTTATCTGTTAACGGTGTCTCAACTGAAATCCCAGAAAACATACTATATCACAACTACATTGTTATGAGAGATGCACCATGTGAATATGCTGGATCTGTATTGGTACCAGCGGTTTTTATTGCCTCATATCACTTTACATAACAATGCATCCCTCGCATTAAATAAAAGCACATCTAGCTGTTATATAAGACGTATAATAAGATTCTGTCCATATGGCCCACCTCTAGATCCTAACGCATGACGGATTCCTGACATCCTTACTGCACTAAATAACCATTCAAGCTGTTTGACTGAGGATGACCCACATCCTTCAATCATAAGACATCCTCAAACATCATGCAAAGAACAAAAAACAACAATGTGTCCATCTGTCTGACCACACTACCCATGTCTGTGTTTGTCAGACATTAATAATCATTTTTAGGCTACATCACTTCCTGATACAGCCGGTCACTATAGTTTTAGCTCAAATGTTACACGGGAGTGATCGTGCACTTGTTAGGGGACTATTGTCAGCCGTGGATTAATGCACATTTAATACAGTGTGTGAAGGAACGTGTCACAAAGATGACACGAGGGACACCGATATTTTTGGACAGCTGTGATTTTATGACTGGGATGCATTTATTGATGGTTTGAGTCTTTTCATGGGATTTGTTGACGATAATAAAAAATACTGAATAATGGAGGCCTTCTTCTTTAAGACTACACAAAGGAATGAGGAACAACATTTCCTGCTACCCAATGTTTCATACAGCTGCTGTTGTTCTCAAGCCATGTGGGATCCTAACATGAGAGAATACTTTTAAAAAAAAAACATGGATTAGGTTTTAAACTCCGGTGTCCTGCACTTACCTGAGAGCAAGTGACCAGTAAGAAAACCCCTCAACCAGAACTGATCTCGCGCTACATCTACTTTGTTACATGTGTCACGTTGTTAGTGAGACTGTGTGTGCAGTAACGTTACTGTGTGTTACCTTGAAGTCTTTAGTCTGCACACAACACAATAACGACGAGCCACACGAGGAGTAATATGTTAATTCACAACAGCAAAAGCCCTGAAACTAATCCGTGTAAAATCATAATTCTGAATGTGAAAAACTGACTGAAAAAAAAAGTTAGAAAGAAAATACAGTTTGTTTTGAATCTGTTGAGCTTCAAGTTGTCAGGCTGGCTAGCTCTTAGCGTCATCTTAGCTTCTCATTTAACTTCACTGCTAACATAAACTTCCGTTAACTGACATGCCGACCACTTAAATCAAAGAGAAAACACATTGTAGGAGCCAGTCCACCACCAGGTCACTGTCTATAAAGCAACGTTTACATGTCTCCCTGTTAACTTGGGAGTTTTGGGTTAGCAACGTAGCTAGCATCAGAAGCTAGCTGGTCAACAAGGCTAGCTAGAGGAAGCTCTTTGTACTGTCTGTGTGTTTGTATGTACGAGCCAACTGATCCTGTGCTGTGAAACGTTATCCAACAGATGTAGAAGCAGCGTGATTCTCAGATTTACACAATAATCCCTAAACCGCTCAGCCAACTCACCCCAACGACACACCGTCCATCCTCACGGACACAAACAGCAGGCATGAGCGCTCTGCAGCTGCACGAAGATCGTGTGTGACTGAGATGAATCCCTCCGCACAAAAACAAACAAATATACTGTGTATACACATGCAGTGTGTACAGTAAAAAAGATATACACATGCAGTGTGTATTGAATGTTCCAGGGTACAACTTGTTTCAGTGTGCAATTTAAAAACAAAGAAATGACTCATACACATAGAAATAACACATTGGTACGTCTCTTTTACGAGATATAAAATTCCTGCACATTAGAGACACTTTTAGTCACGTTTTAGTCAGTTATTTAATCCAAGTGACCAAAGACGAATCAGATATATATGGCGTTCATATTTGACAAAAATTAGACTTATTTCTAGTTTTAAATTAAATAGGGCCGCTAACTGATGATTATTTTAATTTGCAATTAATTGGCTGATTATTTTACAGATTCATCTTTTGATCATTTCGTCTAAAACAATTATGAAAATCCTGAAATATTACTTTCCTGAATTCCTAAAGCCCAAGATGATGTCTTCAAATGTCCTGAGTTGTTTTGCCCTGCCAACAGTCATGAATTATTTACATTAATTTAATACAGTAAATCCTCACAACATATCCACCACTATAATATGTATTTCTTTGCATTATTAACAGTTTACAATTTACAGAAACACTTGACTTGTATATAGACATTTGATTTGTGTTGTATATATATATATATATATATATATATATATATATATATATATATATATATACATATGAATCATATTTTTTCACATATACCATAATAGTCCTGTCTATTCTTTACCCTTATTTGTCTAGCTTTGTTCTTGTTCTTAGCTGTTTTGTCGTTCTATGTAAGCACAAACACTTATAAAGTTCCTTTATTTGAACACATTCTTGGATGTTTGTCATTTTTGATGAATGACTTGATTAATAAATTATCAATATAGTTGCCTTTTAATTTTCTGTCAATTGATTTATTGTGTCAACAAAAAACATGACCACCAGGGAAGTCCTCACAGGTTCATCCTGGAACAGCAACTGTCCACTTGTCTCAATCACATCCACAGGGTTTGATGTTGCACAATGTTTTATATATTTGATGGTTTGTTCTGGGCATTTTCTCCTCTTAGTTAGACAGATGAAGAAGGTGGATCAGTTCTCAGATCTTTCCTCTGAATGAATCAATGAAATAAAACACTTCTCTTAGTTAACAGCACTCTGTGTTTTAATGTCAACAGCTTCTCTGATATGCCACATTCAGTTTTTATTCACCGCATATCAGGAACAAACTCAACGTGAGGTCTGTGCCGCTGACTCTGTTCTTTTTTTTGTGTGATATATTTGTATTGACATTCATTCATTCAATGCAGACATATTAGTTACTGATAGATTAACTATCCGATGGTGTGAAATTCCTCTATTCTACCTCATCTCAGCTCTTTTAATAATCAAGGCTCCTGATATAAGTTTCATGTCATCTTAGCTTATTTATTTAAAAAAAATCCCTTTTGTTTCTCTTGTAGAGCATGTTGTCATAATGCCATTTATTGATAGTGTACAGCACTTTATGTATTCATTGAAAGGTGCTAAAAGGAAATTAACTGTCTTTGCCTTGAAGAAATCAGACATACAATCTGGGAGTGTGATGACATTCAGTTGAAGTCTTTGGTCCGATTAAAAAAGTTGAAAACAAAGCCTTGCTCCAGAGAGCCACGTTTTCATACCCAGAAATATCAGTGAGACCTCTTTTTCTCTCTCTGCTACTTGTCGCTGCACCTTTTATTAATCTATATTGATATATTAAATCTAACCTACATCTTTTAAAACTAATCATGGACTGTAGTTAGACATCCCAGCTATATTAAATGTAGATGAGATTTGGAAAATGTCCAGAAACAATTGTGAACCAAATGAGGCTGTTTTGTGACCCTCTGTACTTTAATTAAACCACTTCACAAAAGGCAACACAACATTCAAGGATATTTTAAATAAGAAAAATATTTTATTTTGAAAAACATACAAATCAGTATATGTATCACTGCACCCACGTGGGCAATGGAGAATATATTTGGATTACAATCCTCAATGGCGAGTATTTGCTTATTTTCCAAAAGGTTAACATTTGTATTATTCTAAAAGAAAACTGCTTTCAGAGGAACAACTCAGCTATAAACTACCGCTTCTGGTACACTGGTGAATCCATGCGGTATAAAATGGCCGATGAAACGAGGATTGCATGCATTGACATGCGTGCATTCACAGGCAATACTCCCTCCTGGTGGTGGCTTTATGAACCATCTTCACTAGGTTAGAGAAAAGGCGAAAGATTATCCAAGTAATGAGGATACAAATGCATCAAACTCTTTGCTGTTTTGATAACACATCTGCTGAAATGTAACCCAACACGATTTGAATCAAGACTGCGAGATCGGATAGAGTTTCAAAACATTAAAAACTTTAATAAAAGCAGAATCAAACATAAGGGTGAACTGAACACATGGATTTCAAAAACAGTTTAATCTAAACAAAAAGCCTGTAATGGGACGGGTGGAAAAATGTAAATTTACAGATAACAAAAAACAGTCTCGTGACATTTCTTCCCTCCCCCAAAAAAAACGTTGTCACGATTTGTGTTCTAGGATCCCAGAGTCCCATGCTTCCCACCAACATCACTTAAAACCCTGAGTTCATGATGCAAAAATAACAGACAACATCTGGCTGGTTTGCAAGACAAAAACAAACTCAATTTGAGAATCAGTGACTGAAATTTGATTACTGTTTTACAAATGGTTTCAAAGAAAGTACCCCCCCACCCCCCTTCCTCCTCCCATCCCAACATAACAAAAGTACAATTCAACAATTCCCAATTCTTAGTAGTAAAGTCCATAATGTGTGGAATAAGAGGACAGATGGGATCCAGGACAGTCTCATTCATTCCGTGTGGGTGATGGGCACTGCAACAAAGACCCCTCACCCGGGCATGTGTGTTATATGCATGTGTGTGTGTGTGTGTGTGTGTGTAAATTCAAGTTCGCTGTAAATCAGAATTTACCCCCATGATCACCGCAATGGCCCTAATAGCCACCGCTGAATCCTCCACCTCCACCACCGCCACCTCCCCGGCCACCGTAGCCTCCTCCACCACCACCGCCGCCTCTGTTGTACGGAGCCCCGCTCCTGTATGAATAGTTGCCCGTCTTCACTGCACCATAACTGGAGTGCTGCTGTCCGTAGCCATCCCCAAAGTCACCATTACTGTAGCCACCCCCTATCTGGTTGTCGTATCCTCCCTCCTCGTAGCTTCCGTATCCACCGTATCCACCAGCGCCGCCGCCACCGCCGTTGTAACCCCCGCCATAGCCGTAGCCGCCTCCATAGCTGCTGCCGTAGCCGCCGCCGCCGCCGCCGCCTCCGTAGCCGCCACCTCTCCCGCCGCCATAGCTCTGCATCCCCCGGCCTCGACCTCTCCCGCGGCCACCGGTAGACATCTCCTGCTTGGTGAGAGCCTTCTTCACCTCCACCTTGTTCCCGCTGATGGTGTGGTACTTAGTAAGCACCGCCTTGGTGGCGGAGTCGTTATCCTCGAAGAAGACAAAGCCGAAGCCTCGCTTCCTGCCGGTCTGCTTGTCGGAGATGATCTCGGCCTTCTCCACCACGCCGAACTGGGAGAAGTACTCGGTGAGGTGGTCCGCCTCGATGTGGTCCTTCACGCCGCCGACGAAAATCTTCTTAACGTTGGCGAGGATATCCGGATTATTGGCGTCTTCTCGCGCTATGGCCCTTTTCAGCTCCACGTCGTGGCCTTCGACGACATGTGGGTTAGCCGCCATTGCTGCGTCGGCCTCCTGCGGAGTCGAGTAGGTGATAAAGCCGAAACAGCGGGACCGGCCGAGCTGCTGGTTCATGACCACCACGCAGTCGTTGAGCGTGCCAAACTGCTCGAAATACTTGCGTACGCCATCTTCCGTGGTCTCCACGTTCAGTCCGCCGACGAACAGCTTACAAAGTTTGGTAGACATGATCGAATCTCGTCAGTTGAATGGTATGCTGATGCCCGTCCGTCTTCTTCTTCAATGAGCAACGTCAGGGGCGGGCCGTTTGACAAATATTGCCGTTTCGTAAGACGTACCCGTCGCTGATTGGTCATCTTGAAAAAATCACCGCTCTCATTGGCTCGCATGAGAATCGTGCTGCTGCCGCCTTCAAGGGGTGTCGGAAATCTAAGGTTTAATTGTCTGAGGAGAAAGGGAAGCGTGATTTTAAACCTTTGTGGTCGCTTGTTATGCTCCAGTACAATACAAAGCACACTAACAAAAGCAATATCCAGATTAATTACCTTATTCTTATATCATTCGTACTGTACAACCACAAAACATAGTATCACCACAAAACACAGCATTGATGATGCATACTTAACTAAAACAGCCATCCTGCTTCCATCATGGTTAAATCCCCTATGTTCTTTAAATACACCGTCATTTTACTACATAACGAAAAATATAATAATTTTTGAATTGAGAGTACCCATTAAAAATGCAAGTTGAAGGGTATTCAAACATAGTTTATAATATATACAGGCTGGTGTGTCACCTACACAGTGGCATAATCTAACATTTTATTTTATATATATTGTTTTCATTTCAGCTGATTTCATTTACATGCCGACAAAGGCTGAAAAAGGACATTTTCCAGTGCAAATGTTAACATGTCCTCGAGCTATTTATGTATTGCTTCAGAAAAGAGAAAAGAGGTCACACAGGGCTTTTACCCTTAGCAATACTATATACTTCACAAAATCAAAATTCTTCATACTACTGTATGTGCTAAACATGTCCAACTCAGTGGCTGTCTTCAAATCTTGTCTTTGTTAATATATTGTTGTGATCATATCAGCTCTGAGATTACTCTGACACATCAATTCAATCCAAATTGTATAGTCAAATATCACAAATCAGACTCGAACAGCATACAGCACGCTCTGTCCTTAGACCTTTGATTGGGATTAGTCCAAACTCCCTTAAAAAACACTTGTAAGGAACAAATGGAAGTTAAGTAAAGAGCACCAGAGGGCTTCAACGTTAACGTAACGTCCTCTTAATAATTCATTAGTTTAGTCACACTGGTCTTAACATGAATAGAAAATGAAGCATCAACACGTTGAGTGAACAGCATTTAAAATATATATAAATAGTGCTGACCCACTTCAGCCTCAAAGGGCTTAGTGTATGGTTTAGGTAAACTGAAGTCGGTCTTTTTACATGAAGTGAAATTTGTCTCAGACTCCTCCCCCCTATGCTGCTGGAAAAAACTATGCAAGGCTTCTCCAATGAAGATTAATGCATGTTGCAACACGCCCTTGTTGAGACAGTACTAGCTGCCACTAGTCGTTTCTGCAGCTTTTTTTTATTTTTTATTACAGACTTGTTTCCAGGGAAAGCTGCAGTATCGCTTTGGGGAAAACTTATTAAACTCTTAACCAGATCAAGTTTGTTCTTTTCATTTGTTGTAAATTCAATGCTGCAAGGGCTCCTTATAGTTGTGTCTGACTCCCAAGTCAAATTCTACAAACTTAAAAAGGTACTCTGGAGTTTCAGACTTATCAAACAAGGTTTATTTTATGTGGGGGTCAGTTTCATTTGAGATACCGTCTCCTGCTAATGGTTTCAGACTATTCCACTGACCTACAGGTGAGCCAACAAAAGGCAAGTTGGTAAACATTGATATAAACAATGCAGGATTTTAAACTGGCTTTGAAAAGCACATTAACAGATATGTTAGACCTCAATCATACACACAATGCCAATTGGTGACTTAACACTACAGGGAAACTGCACATGGCTCATTTTAAACTAAATAATTGTGCATATATGTACATATATATATGGGGGGAAAAGCCATGTAATTGAGGCTGTAAATGGGAGACACATGAAGGCGACACCCATCATAAAATAATTTTATAAATCCCTTACTTGTCTTACCCCAGGCCAGCCAAAACTGTCACTTATAACCAAACACTTTAAGGATTGAATTGGACATATATCGCACTCCAAAGTCCTGAAACACTCCAATCAGAAGAACTTTTAGGAGTCTGGTTGAATGAAACAAGTACATCCGCCAACTTGAGATCTTTGGCGTCACCACCTCCACAAACCTCATCCGTATAATCGGTGTGACCATCAGCTCACAACCTCATCCTGATGGGCATCATCAGGGGAGACATTCAACCAAACTATCCTCAATGTAAAGAAGTAACATAACAAGTCTCTTGGTGTATAAAAATATATAATTTATTGTAGATTCATAAAAAGCACGGCCAACATAACAGAGGTTTCCTTTTCCTATGGGATGATCAGAAATCGTCAAGCACCATTATCCTAAAAAGAGGTAAGAGAACAAAAGTACAATTTACACTCCGGTCGCCAACGTCAAGAATCACGTACATCGTATTTCTGTTACATAAAATATCAACTCGTCTCTCTTGAATTGTCGCAGTACATCAGACAGGACTTGTTAAAGGAACCAGCTCAGCACTTTCTTCCAAATTAAAAAAAACAGAGATTACTTCTGTAATTGACTTGTGTTAAGATTGTGCTTTTATTAAATATCCTTCCAGCCAAGATGTAAAATATACTTTAAAATGTCTGATTGGTTCTGTTCTTACAGTCTTGGCACCGTTGCTAAATAGAGGAAGCAAGATTTTTCTGTCAGATGTATCGTTTGTTCATCAAGAGTCTAATGTTGAGCTCTCATCTGGTTTAGCGCATAAGTAGTGATCTGTGCTGCTCAATTAGCAGCACACTTTAACAAAAGTATTGCTAAACGATTTGGACAGCAGGCAAACCTCAGTAAACCAGATCAATGGTCTGCCATCGTCTTCTGAATTTTTAACTGGAGGGAAAAAAAAAAAAAAAAAAAAAAAGGCACCTCTTCCTAAAAGGTGATTAATCGGACAATAAAACAGTAATTTTAAAAAGTGAGGCTAACGTCTTGTATTTCACAGGACCTGTTCAATGCAAATGCGCATTAAAAGGATATAAATGGTCATGTTGCCTCAACTTCTGACCAACTTACAGGTTTTCTGCAACGCCTCATGTAATGTAGTCAGTTCATTTACAGGCACTGTGCATCAAGCTGCAGAGGAATGAACAGCAGTACTTGGCACCTTGCTGCAAACATCCATTAAGCCAACAGAACTTATGAAAATGTTAAGTTGGATTCTAGAAATAGTTTGACAATTGGTTTTATTGGCAGAGCTAACGCAGTCCAACCTGAGGTTTACGTGCAGTATCTTGCACATCAGGGCCTTTACTTCCCGATTGAGTTACTGAACAGAAACACATGGGGCCGTGTGAACACGTGACTTTAGATCACGTGTTCTAGTCTTTTAACGAGTCCTCACACGGGCACGTGTTAAGCCTCCGGGATCTGGTTATATTGGATTTGTAGGGCCATATGCAGAATGGTAGTAAATGCCCTTCACATTTCATTAACCCGTACTACAGAAGAGGAAAGAATACCTCTAAATATCTGTGACGTTGCCAAATTAAACATGTATTTATGCATTTTCAGCCATTTATATTTACCTCCACTACTTAGGCATTCCCAATATTGAAAAATACAACCATTTTATTTATAATACATTTTGAAACCCACAGTGCCCAGAAGTGCAAATTGTCCTTAAAATAAATCCAATAATAAAAGATCAAATAATGAAAACAGAAGACTTTTAATCATATAAAGTTATTAATGTTTAATACAGAATACTTTAACCTGCAACCACGCATTAATAAAATCCTTCATATCACTCGAAGTCTCGTCACAGGTCCGTCATACTAGTCAGTGCTGGTCATCTATTGCACTGGGGGCACTGTGTGATCAAAAGTCACAAGCTTCTCAGAATAAAACCCATCAAATAAAAACCTTTTCAGAATAAAAGCGCGAGACTCTTTGAAACGCATTTAAAAAAAACCACACTGGGACAATCCTTTGTGAAAACTTGGGACTTCACCTGAGGGGGAGAAGGCACAGCCGCTCTCCGGTACCCCCGGCGGCGTGGAGACACACCCCATCGTTTTTTTCGGGGGGGTGATGTCCTCGTGCCCAGGTTACCGTAGCAACCTGGAGAAGATGGGGAGAGAAGCAAGAGTGAGAAAGTGGACAGAGAAACGTTTTTATTGGAAGAGACACCAATTTACTCGTTCCATTGTTTCATTTACTGGTGGAACAACATTTGGGGGTCCCCTTCCACCCACTTAAAAGTTCACTTAAAAGTCCAAATCAAGTAGCCCCTCCCCCCAGTTTGTTTTTTATATTTTAAGATTAGCTATTTAAAGACGCATTGAGCTATGATTATAGTGTCACTTACGTTGTTTTTTTTTTTTTTTGATTAAATAATGGCACACCTGTGCACCAATATATTCCATACATTGTTGACCAACACAGAGTGAAGACAGGTTGATTTACATACCTAGTTTGCTGGATGTGGATATCCTAAAGAGATATTTCAGACTCCTATCACAATCGACCCCAGGTAATCAACAGGGTCCTGATGTAGCCTACAAACAAACTGCTACGGCTATTATGGCTGGGAAAGCATACTGGAATACGAGTAAGAACACCTAATAGGAAGTAGGAATAATCAAAGATAAATATGTCCACATATAAATATGTATTCAAAGGAACAATATGTAAAGAAATATTAGCAAACCACATTAAGTTTAAAAACAAATTCAAACCCTACAAAGCCTACATGCAATGGCTGTGGGTAGACTACAATGATTATCACCCACCTGAGTGTAAGGGGGTAAACTGTGGGATGCCATGTAACTTATAAACCTGTGGATGAACTTGAGGAAGCCTGGGTTAAATAAGTAAAGTAAACTAAGCTAAGTGGTATAACGTTTTATTTAAAATGAACATACATAAGCATACCAAAAAGTGTTTTGTTAACAGTAGGTTGTGTTCTCCAGACATGAAAGTATACAATATACATTAGATATTGCTACAGGTAAATGAGAAATGAACAATATATCGAAACTATTCACTATGAGTGAGGAAGAGGAGAGGAAACAAGGAAACTGGATCCTGCAGTATCACGTTCCCGCCTTTGTGACCCCAAGTAAGATACAAGTTGTTTATCAGTATAACAAAGCTATGAAATCCATTACCACAAAAACATGCTTTCTCATCCTCATACATTGAAAATCACACTAAGTTTACTCCAGAAAAAAAACAAAAAAACGAACCTTTAATTGCTTAAAATGCAAATATTAGGAAAATCAGCAACAATCCTACATCGAAATTTGCAAAAAGAAACAACGTGTGAACGCAAATAAAAAATATCCATAACTCTAAACGACAGCTAACACGCGTCTGCGTGGGTATAACGTTACATAATAAAAAAAAGGGATCACTGTGTTTTTATTCTTCATTTTTTTTTTTTTTAAATGTGTCCTAGTTGAACGGCAAACTTCTGCTCGTTATTATCAGGTTTTTTCTGGGAAGTGACCTTCCTACCTGTTTGGGTTTTTGAGGTCTGGTGATTAGGGGGTTGTCTCTGTGTCCGTAATCTCTGCCCTTAGATTAGATTTTTGGCGTCCAAATCCTGGCTGGAGGGGCAAATTTGTGTTGATTTGACGCTGTTAGTAGCCGCCACCACCATAGCCACCGCCGCCGCCACGTGGGTAACCGCCGCCGCCACCTCCGCCGCCGCCACCTCTGTTGTAGGGAGCAGCGCTCCTCTGGCCGCCGAAGGGAGGCCCTTTCATGGGACCGTAACCAGAAGAATGCTGGCCGTAGCCGCTGCCAAACTCGTTGTAGCCGTTTCCACCTCCGTAGCCACTGCTCTGGTCTGCGTAACCACCGCCATATGGCGCTCCGTAGCCACCGTAGCCGCCACCGCCGCCTCCACCACCGTTGTAGCCTCCGCCATTTCCGTAGTTGTAGCCTCCGCCGTATTCCCTGCCGTAGCCATTTTGATTTCCCCTCATGCCCCTACCGCCCCTACTGCCTCTCGGAGACATGCCGGTTCTGCCGGCCGCCTGCATCTCCTGCTTGGTCAGGGCTTTCTTCACTTCGACCTTGTGTCCGTTGACCGTGTGGAACTTCACAACGACGGCTTTGTCTGCCGCGTCGTGGTCGGTGAAGTAAACAAAGCCGAAGCCTCGCTTCTTTCCGGTCTCCTTCTCCGAGATGACTTCGGCCTTCTCGATTTCGCCATACTGTGAGAAGTACTCACTCAGATGCTCCTCTTCGATGTCGTCCTTTAGGCCGCCGACGAAGATCTTCTTCACCTTGGCGAGGGCCTCGGGCTTGTTGGCGTCTTCTCGCGCCACGGCCCGCTTCACCTCGACCGCGTTGCCGTCGACGGTGTGAGGCCTAGCCGCCATTGCTGCGTCAGCCTCCTCCGGCGAGGAGTAGGTCACGAAGCCGAAACAGCGGGACCGCTGCAGCTGCTTGTTCACGACGACGACGCAGTCGGTGAGGGAGCCGTACTGCTCGAAGTGCTTCCGCAGGCCATCGTCGTCGGTGTCCACGTTTAGACCGCCGACAAAAAGTTTGCAAAGCTGGTCAGTCATTGTTGAAATAAGTAGGATTTAGTCAGAAGATGTGTTAAGCTCAAAATGGTGGAGGCGGATGAACGCAGCCGTATTTATACCGGACGCTTGTGACGTCAGACACGCGCTTGATAATATGTAACACCTCTTCCGGTCCGCTACTCGTTCTATTGTGGGACAAAAGACGACAGATGCTTCCATTAAAACGTATAAAAACACTGAATTTAAGTTACTAAAAAAAATAACAATACTACGGCATGCTAAAGAAAAAATAACGTTGTAGTATTATGACGGTTTATGTCAAAATGCATCGATCAAATGCTGTCGTGCTAATATTTATAAATGCTAATAAAAAGACAAACAAAAAGCTACATTTTGGAACTGTAATACGCGAAGCTCCCAAATCATAAGGCCCAGTTAATAAAATTATCTTCTTGGGCAACTGAATATGTTCATATTTAGTTCATGGGTTTAAAACAAAACTACATTAACCAAAAATGAAATGTGGTACCCTGTGTGAGTGAAATTAGGCTATATCACAAAAATATACTTCATAATTTATCAGCAATAGCAGCCTGGTTAGTGCAAGAGCTCCATAACTGCACTTTAGTGAACTTGGTTAAAATTTTTGTAATTTAAGTGGAAGTTTATAGCAGTGAGGGAAAGGGCAAAATTTAAAAAAAGTTCTGCTAATTCAACATGAAACCTCTTGTTTGAAATTAAAAATCTAGAGGTAAAACACTCCACTTCTGTAATAATTAAGTAGTCAATCAATACGCAATTAATTGTCCATTTTTGTTCATCAACCAATAGTTACATTTGGGGATTTGTTTATCCGTTTATGTTACTGTAATTTTAATATTCTGGGGTTTTGGGCTGTTGGGTTTTAAGATGTTACATTGGGCTCTATAAACTAGTTTTGGGCATTTGTCTTACTCATTTCTTGGATTTGATAATGAATCCTTGAATTTATAGAATGCTCTATAACATAAATTATATTAAGTTTCTTGCAGCCCCCCCAAAAAACAAAATTTCCATGCAAGAGCACACAAAACAAGCTTACTGGAGGCCGATTTATCATCAAAATCAAGGTTTAGTTTTTATTTACAGATTGTGGATTCTAGAAAGAACAGTGAAAGCCCACAAAATCAAGTGTGCTTCCAAATCTTGTCACATTTGTCTAGTTGTTTTGTGCTCATGGTGATCAACACTACAATAAACCTGTAAGCATGTTTATTTTACTGCTGGACCAACAACCGCCCACACAGAATGCTGACCCCCTCCGACCACGGAGCTGCAGTTTCAGGTGAAAGACACAGGTCACATTTCCATGTCAACAGAGTTGCGGTGAGTCGTTAATCTCGTCACACCTACCTGGGTTTATGGCGACGCTAATGTTGGAGCCCACGGAACAAAGTAGACGCGGCAAATAATGAAACACTGAAATCAAAAGTTCACTGAAATCTTTATGAGGCATATTGCTCATGAAACAATCCCTTTATCTATTCTACCGACACAAATACACAGGACAGTCTGTGTCTTTACAGATACACTTCCAAATCATTTATGGACACAAATGAGGCAACTTTTGGTTTGTCAATAAACAACACATGGAAGAAATGAATGACCACAGATTGATCATGTCTAACATAAAACTGCATTTTTTTTTGTTGGACTGCTTAGTGTGGCTGTTTAAGGTTACATTTTTTACAATTTGAGGGTAATTTGTTGTCGCTGAAGTCCAGATTTGTTCCAATCACACTCCTCGTCCATCTATCTTCTCCAGTAGGGTTTCAAAGTCATAGAGGAGGAGTCATGAAAAGGCAGGATTGTCCAACCAGCAGTCTAATCAAGGTTTTGATCCAGCCTCTTAATGCCTTATATTCAAATAAAGGCAGGTACTGTGTGTGCATTGAACTACATAGTGTTAGCAGTATGTGTACCTCTCCGTAGAGCACAAGGCTGAACAAATATCAGCACCGTCTTTCCCTTTATTGTCTTCTTCTTTGTTGGAAAATGTGTTAAGGAATTCAAACTATTTGAGCAATGTTTGATTAAATAAAAAGCAGCCAGGGCCTCATCTTTAAACAGAATAAATATCCTAAATTCACCGATATGTAAAGAAAAAAAAAAGAAATTGGAGAACTGCAAACCTCAAACACAAAAAAGGAAGACAATTTGTTCAATAATAAAAAATAAAAAACACATTTGAGATGGTTGTCTTGTTTGAATATTGCGTAATTTTCATTATGGAAGTAAATACAGCACAATTAATATTACCAGCGTCCTCAAAGATGAGTTAACTTGAGGATACTGTCGGCTATATCAGGTTTACAACACCCAAGAAAAGACTTGTTCAGTTCACAGAGCATCTTGGTAAAAGGATAATCTTCGTTGTTACTTGTCCCCAAAACTCCTGAACTTAAACATGAGGATGATCAATTCCCATCTAATATTTACATTTGAAAAGGAGCCAACAGCGGCCCGAATCAGGCTCCATTTTCACGACCAAGGGGGATGAAATGCAAAAAAAGGTAGGCCGTTTAAACAGGAGGCTTTTAACATATACCCCCCCGCCCCCCAACCCACTGAAAACATGGCCAGAAGACAAAGGATGTCAACAGCATGCATCACAGAATGAAATGCTACCACATGACCAGGAGGCCAGCCATGTTTGCCTTGAAAAAGGCCCAAATCTCATGTGTTAATCTGGTGAATGGAGTGAGTTTAACACAGTCCTGCACATGTTTTTTTCTTTAGTAACAAAGGAACACCACTAGTGAAAAGTCAAAGTAACCTCAACAGGTTTTTATTTGTTGTAATAAAATCAAATAACTACCGAGCAGTTTTTCCCACCCCATCAAGTCCTTTACTGTAGTCTCTAAACTTCAACTCCTGGACCTTTCAGATAACGAAACTGTTGATAGTCGCTGTGCTTGAATAGATCAGATCAACTTCTTGTTCTTTAGCCACATCTAAAACCAGAGTCTCAAAGGAGAGGATCCCAGTTTCTGTGTAGTAAAACGGGAGGGGGGAAGGGAACTGGTGAACTTGCGCCAGATCGTGTTTTGGGAGAGGGGGGGTTGTGGGGAAATGCCGGGTGTGTCTGTGAGGGGGGGGCACTGGATCACAGCTCCACGGTGTGGCTCTCCGAGTAGGCCTGGTCACATGGGATGGATGACGGGGATACTCGTCTGGATACTCTACGGGTCATCCGAGTGATCACATGATGTAGACCTTCTCAGCCTGAGAGAAGTTGAAGACTTCTTTGGTTCTGGGACACACCACTTTGTCATCTTGGCGGATGGACAGAAGGGACTGGAAGAGATAACGAGCACAAACAACAAACGTTTAGAGGACTTTTTCCTTCTTCTGTACTGTGTTTTAAAGTATATAATACTAGTACTCTTGGATTACTCACATTATAGCCGTAGACGTATCCATTAGGCAGCATCATGGGAGGGTTGTTTTCATTCATGACCTCCCCAGAGATCTTACAGACTAGTCTGGAGTTGGCGCAGTGGGCCATGGGTAGCGGTTGGGCCAACTTGTTGAGGGATTTACTGCACACTGGGCAGTCTGGGTTCTTTGAGGTACCGTCCTCCTTGTAGCACTGACTGGAAGAGGCATGGAGGTTCAGGAAAATATATGAATTTCTCAATGTGTGATGTTATTGTGGGTCTCACAGCGGACAGCATCAGCAGAAAGAATAATCCACTCACAAAGGTTTTTCGTTTCTAGCTTTGAGGTCGTATTTTTACCTTCATTAGACAGTAGGAGCAAATAGAAGAAGACTAAAAGTGATGTGTGATCAAGACCTCATTTGATAGACTTAAATCTGACAATTTTCACAATTTAGTTTTTCAGATGCAACTTATCGTGGGAAACAAACTACGGTAGGATACGGCGTCTTGATGGCAGACAGACCCGCCTGGAGGGTGATAGTGAACACAGAGTTGTTTCCCAGCTGGTGCAGTCTGTAGTTATCATATCGGAACTGCTGGATCAGCATCTTCCAGCGGGCTGGATCCAAAAGATCCTGATGGAACAGAAAGAACAAGAGACGGAAGACAGTGAGAGTTTTACACCGACAGCCAGTTCAAGACTTCAGACCCAGAACTCAGTGTCACACAACTCAACACCAACATGCTATTTTGTTTCCTATACACACATTGTTAACTACATTGCGTCCACTGGGAGTAATCAGTGTTCAGTGTGTCTCTCACCGGTGCTCCGGAAACAACAACATCAGGGTAGTTTCTGATTTTAGACTTTAGATATAATGTCCCACAACATCACGATAAAGACAATGGAGACCAGAATGTTTTGCTTATAAGCATAGTATACTTGAGAGGAGTTGGACAACTGGTTCTAACAACCTGAATAACTCCAGATTTGGATTGTTTGTTTTGAACAAACTGTGATTAACGGCTCTCTGCTTCCCAAAGTGTTCTCACTACAAAGACATCAGTTATAATGTAAATGCTGTTATCTAGATTAAGTTACAGCTACATGCTTCTGTTCAGCTGTGAACAACGGTGGCAACATTTTCATTAAACCTGATTAAATTCATAAGTGACTTTACATTCACATCCTCTCTGCTTGCAGAAAAAGGCTAAACGCTTTTTGAGCCTTGTTGTTGTGGTGCCTCATATACAAGTCTGCTTCTCTGAGGATTTTAAAAATAACAGCACTGCTATTGAAAGCAGCCATTAAGCTAAAAGTAGCTCAAGGGGGAGTTGAGATTATTCTTTAGAAGGCAACAGAGGCCCTCTAGTGGCGGCTCTGGTCTCCATACAGTTCCACACTGTATTATTATTAATATGAATAAAGTTGATGCCAGTGAACAAGCATCTGTTATGTTTCTGATTCATCAGTTGTTGCTGTGAATTAGCTCAAACGAGTATACCCTAATATAGAAAATACAACATGTGTGTGTGTGATCAAATACAATCTTATATACATATGTATAGCAGGAAAGACTGAAGCTGTCACCTTGTATGGAGAGATATGCGTGTCTGATGGGAAGGCCAGCATGCCCATCACCTGCCGAACCTCATCCAACTGTCCACCCTCCGCTTGGCTGAAGTGCTTCCTTGCATGTCTGAGACACACAGAGACACACCAGAGGAAGATCAGTGGGGGGGATGTGATGTTCGTTTAAAAAAGGAAGGTAAGAGAGTTAAACACGCATGTGTGTATTACCTGACTGCATCCATGCGTTTGTTTTGTCTGATGAGCTCGATGAACTCCTGGATTCTCAGGCTGAACTCAAGACAACTCTGCCAAAGAAACAGACGACGCCAGTGAGTTCAAACCACTGAAGTGCTGCCAAATCCTCATAGTTCTCACTTTGCCCGTAATGAACCGTTAGAGCAGAGCAGGCAGAAAGCTGATCTCTTTCATAAAACTCCTGCAGTGCTGGTGGAGTCTCAAGATTCCCTTTCAATCTTTTATCACCCAAAAGGTTTTTTGTAACAGCTGGTAGAAGTTATAAGTAACAGCTGGAACTAAAACGTATCTTCATTTGGCAGTGAACTGGAGCTAAACTAGACCAACAATTCTCAAATTATATTTCCCCGAACAGCTCAGCATCTCAAACTTGGACTCACCAAACAAAGTAACAGTTTCTGAGCACAAACAGTGCAGATTATTGTTACGGGCATTCAGTATTAGTCTTTGATTCCTGAGGTAAATATCTGACTACCTTCATCTTGCGCAAGCGGGACTTGTTGTCGTGGCACCAGGCTAGGCAAGTGGCCGTCTCCTGCCTCTCTAGAGACTCCTCCACCTCCTTAGCTGTGAGAAACATCTCAATGTTGACCAGGTCCTAAACATACAGGAGAGTGGATGTATGGAGAGGGAAGAAGGGCATCGGAAGAACAAAAGAATGTGGTGGTTCATGGTAGCACAGGTTCAGAAACAAGTGGTAAACAACAGATCAATAAACGCATTAAAAAGCACAAATGTTCAGGTATCAGGATGACACAAAACACACAATAAATGTGTTAAACTGACTGAACTCAAAGAACTCGGGAGTCTTCTGAATGACCGTGAGACAAAACGGATCATTGACACACAGACAATCACCTCTATACCGCTCTGTCTGGCCAGTTTAACAGCTGTGTTGTAATAGCCGCAGCGCAGCAGATGCTCCACCATCATTCGGTCCATGCGCTTCTTCTTCCACAGGTTGACTGAGGCCGGCTGGTCGCTGCTGTGCTCCTTCAAGTGCTCGATGCGACGCTTACACAGCTTGGCGCTCTCGTCCTCTGCTTGGATGGACTCTGCAGCCTGCAGGACAGACGCACACACACACGCACACACACAACAATGATCAAGATATCTACAAAAAGCTGAACATGCATCAGGACAAAAACTTTTAAATTGACGGGCAATAAGTATCCATTCTTGGCACTGCTGCATTATCTGAAAGAAGGATTTCTTTTCAGATTTAATTAACCAAACAGAGTTTTATTACATTTTATGTAACAAAGCTCATCTTTGAACAGGAAGAAACACCGAAAATCACAAGAAAACTGAGCCTTTCTCAAGTGACACAGAAGCAAGTAAACAGTGATTACATTGTACAGATTGCATTCCTATGTGCACTGTTCCATGAAAACCACCATTTTAGATTAGGCTTCAAAATAAAATTGCTTTGCTTTGTCTTCTCTCATTAAATCTCCTTGAACTAAACTCTCCCTTTCACATTTCACTCTTGACTTTTGGACTACTTTTCTCTGCACCAGAGATTTGGCCCAACATGTTTGGAGGAAAGTGACAACCGGGCCCCTAGTGTAGTATCTAGTATCTATCAACACAAGGTGTATACTATGTGTATACTATGCCACAAAGTACCTGCAGAACAACATGTTGGCACAAAGGAGAAAAACAGAACTGCAGAAGTGTGTTTGGATCACTTGCCGTGTGTCGTTTTAGAAAAGGCTCGACAGAAGTACCAGCCGGGCAACATTCCACCGCTGAAAACACAATCCACATAAAGAAGACCAAAGCCACAGTACTGTGCTTTTGTCACCAGGGGCGAGTAATGTGGCGTTGAACAGTTTGCTTTCGCTGAGGGGAGACTGTGTTTGTAGACCAGATACCGCTGGTGGAGTAAGTACCGGGGTCAATAACACTAGTACGATTCAAAAAACCCGGTCTTAAAGCGTAGTAACAACAGAGTAAACAGACATGATTGTTGTGATAAATCTTCCACATACATAGCTGCACTTGCTACGTTAAACCAACGTCAGATTTTCTCTGCAATCACTATTTTGTTCAAGCGCTTTTACTGGACAACTAATTTTTAATCTGTAGATAAAAACACTTCCTGGAAGTAGATAGAGAGGAGACTGCAGTGTGAAAGTGTGTGTTTGTGTGCATCTGTATCTCTGACCTTCCTCTTCAGGGCGCTGAGTTTCTCCACCACACCATCCAGCAGTGACACCACAGAGTCCACCACCGGGAAGCTGCTCAGCGTCTTCTCCAGCTCGGCGACGACCATCGTCACGTGACTCGTCTCCCGGTCGATGTTCTTCTGAGCCGCCCTGAAACGTTTGTTCAGAGTCTCGTACGGCACCTGCAACGACAAACACAAGGGGCTAGTTACCTCTGTGCATCAGGCATTTTAGACTTAGCGGTGGCAAAGAGCAAGCCTATCACTCAGTGCACACAATTACATCTAGCGGATTATGGTTTATATTTTGCAAAAGGAAGATGGTTCTTTGAATAGCTGAGCTACAAAGTCTAATGTTTGGCTCTAATAAATGTAGAAAAAAGTCAGATACAATTAGATTGTGACATCTACGAAAAGAAAACACAGTGAGGGTAGAAAATGACCTGTATCCAACAAAATAAGACTTATCTATGATCAAATCAAACAGCGCTTTGCTCTGTTATCACAATACAAGCTGATACCTGTGAACCCGATTAATTGGACTGTTGTGGTTCCTTCGCTGAGATATTGTGTAAAAAGCACAAAAGGAGTGCTTTGATCCATTACAAGGATTTTGTTTCTTTCAAGTTAGAGCCAAGTTCATTTCACAGGTCACTAACGGAGAGGAAAACTATGCAAGCGTGCCCTATGATTCAGATATTTCCGTGAACCAAAGAACAGTTTAGTATGCACTAGTAAATATTCATTAGTGTCCAGATGAAAGAAACACGGGTCTTATTCTGCTCAGGTATGTGTCAGGAATCGGTATGAGAGGGAAGAGATGAACAAAGCACTGGCTTTACGTCAGTCTATAGAAATGTCCCCCCCCCCGCCCGAGGGCTCCATCCAGACCAGGGTCTACAGTCGATGCTGATGATTACAGCAAGATGTAGAGAAAGACTAATCAATTCATAAATCATGCAAACAATTCCCAGTGTATGCAAACAAACAAGGTTCAGCAGCAATGTCTTGGAACTAGACCACAGAGATGATTGTGTTACAAACTCTACTGAAGAAACTGTGTATTTGACAGTTATAGTATTATGTATGTTATAAGTACGTTCTCAAATTGCTGGATCTGGTATCGGCAGCAATGGGCTGATCTGATATTGGATACCGATATTTTCCTAAATAACAATTCAGTACACATATGTATAATAACTATGTATACCCTATGTATAAGGAAAGAAATGCAGCAAATTCATGCACATAACGTTATTTCCCAGGTATTACATTCACTGGATAACCCTAAACAGGCATTCAAACCTGGATATTTTATCTTCAAAGACGTTTCTCATGAATTTCCAGAATATGTACTACATCACAACATATACAGCTTTACATTATTTTGGCCTTTTCCCAAAGTTAGTTAGATAGTTTCAACAGGAGATGTTAAAAGAAAACATTAGTTTACAAATATTACCTTTTTGGAAATGATTGGGTACTAGATCTTAGATATTGTATAAAGATTACTCTTTTCCATACAGCCATGGTGTACTTGACAGATGTCATGTAAATCAGCCATGAGCACATTTCAGACAGCTTTTACATTACAGTGTTAGCGAGGCCGACACTGTGCGAGTGGTTGCCCGTCATGATTGGCTGGGAGGCGGCTCCAGAGACAGCTACAAGCCCACTACAGGCAGAGCACAATACTCATTAACGACAATCAGAATAACTAAAATCATTAAATTAGGTGATTTGGACATACCTCTAACACAGACACATTTGTTGTAGCATTATCTCATCATCTCACTGTGATGGGTTTGTACTTTAACAAACCACTGGAAACAAAGCCTTTCCACTGATGCACGTAACAGTTATATATATATATATATCTCATTTCCTTTAAGAATGCTTGAGGTATGCCCTGCTTTGTCCCAACTGAAAAAGACCAAATATATAAAAAATAAATAAGCACATAATATCCAACATATGTGTTTGGTAATGCAGATTACTCAGTGTCTGTGTCAGGCACCGTTGTGATTTTATTATCCATAACTGTAATCAACACTGAAGACTCCCATTTGATACCAATTACAACCATCACTCCTGTCTTAAAATGGTGCCCATCATCCTTACTGCAGCATCCAAGCCAAAGACACAAACAGACACACACACATCCCCCCCAAAACCACAGCCATGCTTTGGACTCAACACTGCCAACGACACGTTTACATGCATCATGGCAACGCCATGCAATTAGTTGCCACAAAAGCTGTCAATACATTGCTACTCACAAACGTGCTTTTTTTTTTTTTTTTTTATAAATACGACGACAGAGGAGCAGCCCGGACTTGTTTCAGCTCGTGGTGTCGCAGTAACGTTGTGTGGATGTGGAATGGAGGAGGAACGGTAGTGTGTGTGTGTGTGTGTGCGGCAGCAAGGCTGTGATTTCTCTCGCTGGCCATTTTGAAGTGCAGAGAGAGGCAGCAAGCAGAGATCTGATGACATTGCGCTCTCTCCACCTCCAACCGATCCATCCTCCAGCCCAGCTAGAATTTGCATGCTCGACGTTACGTTTATCTGGTAGGCTTTATCCTCTTTTTGGTGGCCTAATGCTGGTTTTCCACCACATAGCAAAACTAGCTTAGCAGGCCACTCAACGCCAAAGCAAGCAGTTTATTTGACGTCGTGCTTTGGTTATTGATTGGGTGAGAAACCACGTGGTAACACGTTCTGTGTCAGTGGTGATGGCTATTGTTTTAACGGACCATTCTGTCACAAACAGGCTTATCGTTAAGCTAACAGCTCTGAGGGCCTATGGCTGACTTGACGTCGATAATAAGTACCAAATGAGGGCAGCATATAGCCGGCTAACTAGCCACCAGCTACTTTGTATTCATCAAACTGCTTTATCTTTAATATGGCTCATCAAACACAGGTGGTTAGTGGGCGCTGCTACCTGGCTAAGCTAGCCCAGCTAACATTAGCCTCCCTGTCAAGTCCGCTGGTCTCGCTATCAAATTAACTAATAATCCCCATTTTTCCAAATACCATTGAACGCATCGTGTGTTGTGGACACACTAGAATCGTTAGGGGATTAATATATGAGCGTTTCGGTTTTCTTTTACCTTCAGGGTGGGATATTCTTGGACTTTGAGAGCCATCGACAGTTGAGATGCTGTCTCTTGCACCGCCATCTTGGTTTTTCTGGTTTTCTAGTGGTTGTTTGTGTTTTTTTTTCTCTGTGAGCTCAGAATGGCATCAGTGCTCACTACCGCCACCTGGTGGCACGGTGTCGGTACTGACTCATCAAGATTTGTGCTCTTCTTATCTCAAGTAGCAAATCCCTGTTTAAAAACGAGATTAAGCATTTTATTGATTCAATGCAAGAGTTGCAGACAATTATGGATTTTTTACTTTTTTTAATATTCTTTGCTGTTTTATTACTTATTTAGTTATTTAGAGTACTTATTTTGATCTTGTTTTTTATTATGTCTCTTGCACGATCCACTATGCTGCTGTAATCCTGTAAATGTCCCCGCTGTGGGACTAATAAAGGATTATCTTATCTTAAAACAATACCACCAGGCGATGCGTTTATTAGCTGTAGTGGCTCTCTCTTTAACATCACGTGCTCTTCATGGGGACATTTCACAAGCAGTTCGTCCAGTTGTCAATTCCTAGGAATTGAATTTCCATTTTTCTGCTGACCACTTCATGTACCTCTTGTCCACACTGGCTCATGAATTGAGAGACAACTAGCAATCTTACCCGCACACTCATTTCAATTCATAATTTTAATTCCTGTTTTCTGTTATTAGTTTTTTGTCTACCTCCATATGTGTAAAGTGTCATAGTCCCCAGAAAAGGCTCAATAATGATCATTATCCTTAAATAATGCAGTCCAGACTGTTAAATGTTTCTGTAATTAAATCCAAGACTGCAGTAAATAATGAACAAATGAATGGGTCAGCATCATGCAACATGTTTTCTGTTATTCTTTAGGGCTGCTAATGCTGCTAATGATGCTACTTTGCCACAAGCAGAGGTGAGTTTGAGCTGTATCAATAATTACATTTATAAACTTTATTTTAAGACAAGATTCCTTTCCTACTTTGCTAACTAATAATCACATATTAATTGTTTGAAGTCATAGATAAGTAACACACACAGATACAATAAATATTGAAGATGTCCCCTTAGAATCATAAAATGTAGAATAGGAATTATACTTTTCAACCATCTGTAGTAGGTATCTTTTTCATTACATAGAAACAATCACCCGTTCCATATCATGATCACATGTCTTTTTCTGTGCGAGTGAGAGAATAACCCCCCACACCGCGGTGAACATATTGCCATTGGCTGCTGTCCAGTGCTGCACTTTGCTGATTGGCTGGCTCAAGCTCTAATGGCTCACAATTGGCCCATAATCTACTGCATGCCCCACCCCCACCCAGTTTAGGAACAAAGTGGAACAGTGGACACACAGAGAGGAAGGTGGTGCAAGGTTTGTGATGTATTTCTGGCCCCCGTATCGAGTGCTTCCTGTGTGTAGCATGTGTGTAGTATGTGTGAGTGTCTAAGTGTGTAAAGGGGTGTGTGTTCATGTGATAGCAGCGGCTGTGCTCACAGCTGGGCTCTGCTGTGTGTTCTGGTTTCGAGGAGATAAAACTCTGCTGAGCCAAGTAATGGGGCATGTGTGTACTCACTGTATGAAGGCTTTGCTTGTGTGCGACTGTATGAATGTGTGTTTCTTTGTTTGTGTGACAGGAGGATTATTATTATTATTATTATTATGATGAATAAATTGGTGGAGAAATGGGTATTTCTGCATCTTTTATGATGGATTTCACACAGCGGATGTTGAATGTTGGTGAAATTTATTGAATCTATAAAGAAGCTATTAGTCTCTATTATCTAAGGACTGAAGAAAAACATACTCGTTTAAAAAAAATGTTCTTAACATCTAATTACATATTTAATAAAGCCTTACACTGATGTGGAAATGTGTTTTTTATTAAAGTGTACTTCACTTTAATGAAAAAAAGAGCTTAACAGAGTGCTAGATCCTCATGCATGGTTGCTCTTTCCTCATGTGAAGACTTTGTCAACTGTGCATTTAGAAAGGAACACGTTTTTAGAGTAGAGTGCTCTTTTATTCCTATTGACACTCGTCAATAGGAATACTGAAACAATTGAATAGTTGATCGACAGAAAAATGTGGTGTAATCATTTGAAAGCAAAACATTACTTTGTAATCGGTTCTCTTTTTCTGCCTTTCTTGGTCTTATAAAATAATAAATGTAATCTGTTTGAGTTTTGGACCGTTGGTCGGACAAATCAGATCTGAAGACACCGGGGGCCGTAGAAACTTGTGATGGGCGTTCTTCCTAATTTTCTGACATTTAATAAAGTCAACAATTTAATTAACAACGTATTTAATGGTAAATTATGTTCTTATGAGAAAGTAAAAATACTTTGTATAAATGAGACACAGGGACTACGGTAGATATTAGATGTTGAAGTAGTATTAGACAGTATCTCTCATCTTAAGATCTTCAATTCTCGACATCAAACCTTCTGTAAGATCAATAATTCCTCTTCCTTTAAATGTCATTCTTTCCATTTTCTTATCCTCTTCCTTATATGCTCCTGCTTTTTTACTGCATCCCCATTCCTCCTCACTCTCATCTTTCTTTTCTGACAACCTGTTCCTCCATTCATCTCTTTTGTTTCTGTCCTGCTGCACCTACTCTATGTATTCCACCTCCTTTTTCAATCTTCTCTTTTAGACATGGATCAGATTCTCCATGCCTCCGCTACCCGCCTCCTCCTATAGTAGATTAGATTGCTAGTTTCTCCAATATCTGCTCTCTCCTCTGTAGTGGCATCCACATTGCTCTGCAGCTCACTGTCAGTATCCACAAATCCAATTTGCTGTATGTGTGTGTGCCTGCATCTGCACATTTACAGCTAGTACGATGGTCGGTGTGTTTCTTTGAAGCGGAGTGTAATCGTGCCTCTGAAACTCTGTGTGTGCCGACATCCATGTTTCTTGTCGTGTGTGTGTGTGTCTACATACTTGGTTAATTTTCTTTTTCTATACCGCAGTATGTCAATGCATTTGTTTTGCATGCAACTGCTTATGCGAGTGTACATATATTTCCCTGACTTGTATCTCGGTCTTTGTCACCATGCGTGTTGTTTGCGTGTGCCGGTGATAGCTCTGTGATTCGTGCCAAGTAGAGGCTAAAACAGCTTGCTAAACAGCTTTGTCACCAGCGTAATTTAGTTTACTTCCAATCACGTGAATATGGTGTATAGAAAGTGTTGAATTATAATTCTCGCGGTGCCCACGTTACATGAAGGCAACGTGGTTGAGGACAGTCCTCAGCCTTCTTTGTTATGCTGTCACTCATGATGACACGCCCCTCTCAGTTGATGACACGCCCCCACGCTAGATCAGGGTCAAAAGTCTGAACTGAAAATAACCGATCTGAAAGTGAAAAAAAGATTAGAAACCGAAAAAAAAGGATTTTAATCTGAAAATATAAAATCTGAAAAATATAAGACCTCAAATATCAAAATATATATGAAAGTGACAAAAAATGAAACGTATTCAAAAAAATTCCAGAACTGAATCAAAATTATATTCAACCCAAAAAAACTTTTCATTCATTTATTTTTATTTTGGATACATTGCTGTATTTTTCAATGTTCAAGACCACAACTTGAACTTTGAGGTTCAATTTTTTTTTTTTTCAAATGATCAAAACGTTTGACCTGGATTTAGCTCCATAGATTTAGCTCCATATCAGTCGGGGGTTGCTGCTCGCCCGGCCTCCGCTTGGTGCATCCGCTGAGAGGGAACTGAGCCATTAGACACGCTGCAGTGACTACAGAGAGAGGGAGGGAGAAAAGGGGGCGGCGTGGGTGTGGAGATGTACGGTGAGCTCTGCGGGGATGGAAAAAGAGGGTGAAAGAGATGCGGGACTGAGGAGTGGGGGAGTGGGGGGGGGTGATGGAGAGCGAATGAGATCGAGGGAGAAATTGGGAGGGACTGCATAGAAAAGCAAGATGGGCAGATGGAAGAGCAGGAGGTAAAGAGATGGAAAGGAGTGAGGGAGGGGAGCAAGAAGTAGAGGAGGAGGAGGAGAGAAACTACAAAAAGAGGAAGACAGAACAACAACAGGTGTGGAGTGATAAGGAGAGGAAACGGTGTAACTGTTAATGTCCACCCTCGCACAATATATGTGTGAATATCTGCTCAGTTTGCACACATGAAAGACTGAAGCGCACAAATAAACAATGCAAGGTAGTTAAAACCCCTAAATCTTTCCTCCCTTCACTTCTTCTCTCTTCTATTCTCCGCATTAAACACCCTGCCGATCATTACTTATTCATTCATTCTCCCTTCTACCTCTCTATCCTCTTTCTCTCTTTAGCTAGAGGAGTCCAGATATTGTCTTCTCCTCTCTCTCCATCCTTGTTCAGAAGCACTAAATATGTAACATGTTTCCTCTATCTCCCGGGGAACATTTGTCTCTCGCGTGTACGAGATGGTTGGAGTTCATTTGCCATCGGGCCCCCGTCAACGAGATAAATGTGTCTGTAGCTTCTCACGTCGTCGACTCCAGGTTGTCAGTTTGAATTTGGTGTAGAACCGAAGCTGGACCTGCATCACTTAACCGCTCCCTCGTGATACATGCAACTGGTATTATTTAATGACCTCATGGGTAAACCATCCAAGTGTGGCGTCACGACAAGTATAGAGATCGTTGTCAATTAAGGAGCTAATCAGTTTCGCCATTCAATTTGCATAATTTGTTCGGTGTGTTGCATCTTGCTTATCATGGCGAGACATTGGGCTGCTCAAGAGCTTCTTCTTCAGAAAGCAGGCTGATGCTCCGCAATTTTGGAGCAAAATTCGTAGAACTCCCCTCACAAAGCTCCTAATTCTCTCAGAAAACGATTAAATTAAGGGATCGGATTTTGACATTAGTTGCGCTTCAGTACGTGGGCGTTTTCTTGCCTGAAGTACAATCACAACCTGAATGATTCTGAATGTTCCAGAGTAGCTGCCACTACCAGCTGCAATTCAAAAGGGGACTTTAAGTCAACTTTTGCATGACTAACATGAGGGTTTTTACTGCTTCCCTCACTCCACTGCTGCCACAGACACAGATTTTGCCACTGTCCACAGCTGTTGTGTCATGGGTCAGCACATACACATACACAGCTGAATTTGTTATATTCGTGCACACAAAATTTGTGGGTTCGTGACCAAACAGAAGCAAAGCCTTTAGTTTTGATCTTAAGTGTGTTGAGTCTGTTTAATATTCGCTGTGTCACCTGCAGCTGGTCACAAATGTCATGTGTATTTTTTGTGGACCACATGTTTTGCTTCACCACCACGGTCATAGAAGTCTCAGTGTTGACTCCTTGTTGTGAGGAATGAATGAGTCATGTCCTCTCCAGCCGTGACTCCCCCATCTGGTGTGGACATCATTAAATGAACAGAGTCACAGAGGCTGGTGTTGGTGGTGGTATCGGCCTGCAGTCCCAAGTAAGCAGCAGCTACTAAACAGGCCAAATGCGACTTCACTTTGAACCTCTCGTGACACGAACCCTTGCAGACTTTTGATTAGGCATAATTTCAATCCGATGTATCCGCTATGGGACCCTGCGCCAAGAGACGGTGACGACCCTAACAGCTGGAGATTACAGTTAGATTATTTTATCAAAGAAAATACCGGGGCTCAGAGCTATCTACTCTTTAAAGGGAGCCAGAATTCCTACGTATAGCCCCCCTCCACTTTCTAAAAAAAGCAACAAGAAAAAAGGAGGAGCACACTGGTAGTTTTCCATTGAAGATAAAAAGTATTTTTTAAAGCTAAATATGTTGCCTGCGTCTGACAGGAGAAGATGAATGGTCGAGGTGATAACGTACGACAGTGTTGGAAACAACTGTTCCTCTGACTCTGACCCTCTGACGCCGTTTGGATTTGAACAACTCGCCCACTGGCTGTCTGTGACATTTACCAA